AGGTGTTGATTGCCTTTATGGTATTTCCTCCATTGAGTTTGGATTTTAAGATCTTCTTCACTCTCTTGATGTATTCACCTCTAATCTTTTTCTTGACTTCAGTGTGCTTGATGTTGTCAGCTTGAAGGATACCCAAGTATTTGTAGTATTCTTCCTCATCCAGACTCTTAATGTTATTTTCGTGGGGCATCTTGATTCCTTCAGTTTTCACTATTTTTCCTTGTTTGATAGTAAGTGTGGCACATTTGTCCAAGCCAAACTCCATTACAATATCTTGGCTATATATACGGACAGTGTTGAGCAGCGATTCTATTTCAGATGATGTTTTTCCATACAGCTTCAGATCATCCATATAAAGGAGGTGGGATAGTCTGGCAGATGTTTTTGATGTTTGATAGCCATGTCCTGAGTTATTCAGTATTGTTGACAGAGGAAACAGTGCAATAACAAATAGTAATGGTGATAATGAATCTCCTTGAAATATTCCTCTCTTGATATTAACCTCTCCCAGCTTCTCACCATTGATCTGCAACTGTGTCTTCCATTGTGCCATCGATCTTTGCACAAATTTTCTGATGTTTCTACTGACTCCTGTTATTTCTAGGCACTTGATTATCCAATCATGTGGCAGAGAGTCAAATGCCTTTTTGTAGTCAATCCATGCCACATTCAGGTTGGTCTTCCTTCTCTTGCAGTTTTCCAAGATCATTTTGTCTATTAGGAGTTGATCTTTTGTTCCTCTGCTATTGGGGCGGTTTCCTTTCTGCTCAGGTGGAAAGAGATTGTTTTCAACTAGATGCTGTTGCACTGCATCAGCTACTACACCAGTTAGTAATTTGAAAGTTGTTGGTAAGCAGGTAATTGGCCTGTAGTTACCTGGTGTTGCCCCTTTTGCTGGATTTTTCATTATTAGGTAGGTTTTCCCAGTTGTTAGCCACTTTTCAATTTCTCCTCCTTGTAGTATATTGTTGAACTGTTTGGCAATGAGTGGGTGTATAACAGTTAGATGTTTCAACCAAAACCCATGCAGTTCATCTTCACCTGGTGCTGACCAATTTTTGATTTTCTTTGCTCTTTTTTCTACCATTTTTGTTGTTATTACTAGTTCTTTCATTTCAACTTCTGTTTTATTTGCATCCACCTCTTTTAACCAAGCCGCATCCTTGTTGTATTTCTTTGGGTTATCCCATATCTGCTTCCAGAACTGCACTGTTTCTTCCTTGTCAGGTACTGACTGATTCTTTGCAGTTTCTCCATTGATGGATTGGTAGAAACGTTTCTGATTGGATTGAAATTGGAGGTTCTGCCTATAGTTTGCAATTCGAGCTTCATATCTACTGATTTTCCTGGCTATAGCTGTTATTTGTTGCTTTATTATTTCCAGTGCTTCCTTGATCTTCCTTGTTTCTAAGTGGTATTTCTTGATTAGGTATTCTTTGGTCTTCTTGTTCTTCAGCTTCTTTTCTTTCATCTGTTCTAGCTTGCTTGCATGTGATCTTAACTTGCTGATCTTATTTTCTAGTCTAACCTTCCATTTTTCTGGTGCACTGTTTGTTTGTTTTTCTTCTTTGTTGATTTTGCATCCCAGGTATTCTGTTATAACTGCAGCTGTGCTGTACATTAGTTGGTTTGTTTCTTGCAATGAATTGGTGCTTATACTTGATATTGCAATATTTGCATCTTTTAATGCTTGTGCTAGCTGTTTCTTTGGAACAAGCTTCAATGCAGGTAGCCTTATTCTATTGTTTTTGTGCTGTTCTAGATGCTCAGTTATTCTTTGTTTCAATTCTTTTATTTCTTTAGTTAGAGGGTTTTGTTCTTCCTGAGGTAGAGGTGCCTGGTTTCCAAATGAGAACAGTTGTATATCTCTGCTGGATTCCTTCACTGCCAACTCCCCCTGGTTTGCCTCTACATTCTGAATTACTTCTGGTAAGGCTTTGATTTCTTTGCCCTGGGTAAACCTTTGCAGTTCGTCCAATTCTGTTTCTGTGAATACTTTATTTCGTGTTATAAATCGGCGTTGATCTGCTAGTCTCTGTTCTGTTATTTCTGATTCTGGATGTTGTTCTTTCCAGAACTGGTGCATTCGTTTTAGATATCCTCTTCTTGTTGGACTTGATCTGTAGTAACAGATCATTATTTCTTTGTTTTCCATCACTGTGTATCTGCGACGGGTAAACACCTTTTCTTCCAGTAGTTCTGCAGCTGCTGGCCCTGGTTGCTCAGCCAACAGTCCTGAGTCCTGTAACCCATTTTTCACCAGATATCCAGGAACTCCAATATCTAGTGCGGACCTTGTTAACCCGGGCGACGTCCGAGCCGGTATGGCATTCTGAAATTTACGTCTCACCATATTTTTTATGGGAGAGACACTCTTTGTCTGACTCCTCTGATGAGACCTGTCCAGTATGGTTGAACCTCTGGCATAGCTCTCATCTTCCTCAGAGTACACAAGCCCCACAACCACGTCAAGGTAGTGCCTCACTGGGGGATTATTATTATTATTATTATTATTATTATTATTATTATTATTATTATTATTATTATTATTATTATTATTACTGATCATCGCACAGTCAGCCAGATGTTCAGACTGGATTTGGCATTTTGTCTACCTATCAGTCCTTACCCAGGACCTGGGATAGGCAGATGTGGATGTTTGATGGTATTACAGGTATCGTCGCAGGATGGAAGCAGTTCCTAATAAGGCCGCCTTTTGCAATTGACTAATAGCGAATTTGTCAATGCCAATGGTGTTCAAGTGGTGCTCCAGTTGTTTTGGGATTGCACCCAAGGAGCCTATGACTATTGGTACTACCCTTGCTTGCTTTTGCCACAGTCTTTCTATTTCTATTTGTAGGTCTTTGTATTTTGTTATCTTCTCCAGTTCTTTCTCTTCTATTCTGCTGTCTCCAGGCACTGCCACGTCCACTATCCAGACTTTTTTGTCTTTCTTATCGACAATTGTTAAGTCTGGGGTGTTATGTTGCAGGTGCTTGTCTGTTTGAATTCTGAAGTCCCAGAGCAGTTTAATTTTATCATTTTCTATGACTTTCTCTATTTTATGATCCCACCAGTTTTTGCTTACAGGCAAATGATATTTTTTGCAGATCTTCCAATGCACCATTGTTGCTACTTTGTCATGCCGCTGCTTGTAATCAGTCTGTGCAATCTTCTTGCAACAGCTTACCAAGTGGTCCACTGTTTCTTCAGCTTCTTTGCATAGGCGGCACTTACTGTCTGTTGCTGTCTTCTCAATTTTGACTTTGTATGCATTTGTCCTTAAGGCTTGGTCTTGTGCAGCCAGAATTAGTCCCTCGGTCTCTTTCTTCAATTTTCCTGCTCTTAGCCATTGCCAGGTCTTGTTATTATCTGCTTTCCCAGCTATTTTTTTAATGTATTGGCCATGTAGTGCTTTGTCTTCCCATGCCTCTATTCTGTTCTTCATTTGGTCTTTCTTGTAGGCCAGTTTGGTCTCTCCAGTAGTCAGTAAGCCTTCCTGATATACTAATTTCAGTGCATCTTCATCATTGTTCTTCAGATATTCTTCCAAAGCCATTTTTTCAACCATCTGATGTACTTGTAGCATTCCATGCCCACCTATTTGCCTTGGTAGATAAAGTCTGTCAATGTCACTCGATTGGTTCGAGGCACTTGGGATTCAAGTGACTGGGCTACACAGCTTGCAAATGGCAGGCTGTGCAGAAGTTTGCAAGGAGTTTGCTGATGTGTTTAGCTCAGAACTAGGGTCATACAAGGGGCCTCCAATTGCCTTGCAGTTGGACCCATCCATTGCTCTGATTAGGATTAAGCCTCATTGGGTGCTTTTTGTGCTGAAGCAAAAGATTAATGCCAAGTTGGACAAACTGCTTCAGCAAGGTATCTTGGATCCTGTAGATAGCAGTCCATGAGAAACACCCATAGTTACGCCACTGAAGGCCAATGGGGAAGCCCGCATTTGTGCTGACTATAAATGCACGCTAAACAAAGCATTACAGCAGCACTCTTATCTGGTGCCTGTGGTGAGCCACATTTTGGCCTCGCTTAAGGGAGGCCGAGTTTTCGCCAAACTTGATTTGGCTCAGGCCTATCAACAGCTACCGGTTAATGAGGCAATGGCTGAGGCCCAGACGATCGTTATGCACCAGGGAGCTTTCAAAGTCAGAAGACTGCAGTTCGGGATTAACATAGCCCCTGGCATTTTCCAAAACGTTATGGAGCAAACACTCCATAACATTCTGGGAGCTTGCCCATATTTTGATGATGTCCTTATCGCAGGGGAATCACACGAAAACATGGCTGAGAGGCTTTGGTCCATTTTGCTGCATTTCCGCGAAGCAGGGCTAAAGCTTAAACAAGACAAATGCAAGACAAATGCAAAATTCCACTGAATTCCTGGGGTTTCGTATAGACGCAGAAGGCATCCATCCTGCTGAACCTAAGCTCAAAGCGATTCAGCAGGCCCCAAGCCCCAAGTCAAAGAGCGAGCATCAAGCCTTCCTTGGGCTTCTAAATTTCTATCATTCCTTCCTACCTCACAAGGCTGCAGTGGCAGAGCCGTTACACCGGCTCTTGGACAAACAGGCTCCATAGAAGTGGGCACAAGTCCATGAAAGGAGTTTTGCAGAGGTCAAGGCATTGTTGTCTTCAAACGCTGTTCTTGCTCATTTCAATGAGCAGTTGCCAGTGTGTATAGCCTGCGATGCATCCCCTTATAGGATCAGGGCTGTCTTAAGTCACCTCAAGGCTGATGGGACACAAGTCCCTGTAGCCTACTATTCTAGGACTCTGGCATCTGCTGAGCGTAATTACGCACAGATAGTTTCTCCTTAGTTCTAGGTTGCTTCTCTCTTTGATTAGTTTCCATCCGTTGCTTCTTGTCCTGCCTTCAGGCGCTTTGGAAAATAGCTTGACTCTCTCTTCTTTGTGGTAGCCCCTGAGATATTGGAACACTGCTATCATGTCCCCCCTCGTCCTTCTCTTTATTGACTATGCTGGCCCTTTCAGGGGCAATTCTTCCTCATTGTTGTGGACAGTCACTCTAAATGGCTAGAGGTCGTTCCAGTGTCCACTACGACGACTGCCAGGACCATCCAGGTGTTGAGGCGGATCTTCGCCTCCCATGGGCTCCCAGATATTCTTGTCTCCGACAACAGACCTTAATTCACTTCTTCTGAGTTTCAGGCTTTCCTACAGGCTAACATGATTCACCATGCTACTTCGGCACCCTTTCATCCAGCTTCCAATGACCAAGCTGAGCACATGGTGCACACAACCAAAGATGCCTTGAAGAGGCTCATTCATGGGAGCTGGCATCACAGGTTAGCTGACTTTCTTCTTTGCCAACATACCATACCTTGCACAGCTACTGGGAAAAGCCCAGTTGAACTCTGCTGGGGACGCCATCTCATTACCAAAGTGGACAGATTGCACCCAGACCGGGTGGCTTCACAGGTGTCACAGCCGCAGGCACCTAGGAGACTACAGGTGGGTGATCCAGTTTGGGCAAGGAACTATGGACCTGGACATCTCTGAGTGACAGCAGTGGTCTGTAAAGTCACTGGGCCATTGTCATATGAAGTGGCTCTGGAAGATGGTCATGTGTTGCGTCGGCACATTGACCAGCTGTGCTGGAGGCTACCCAGTCACCCTTCTGCTCCTGATTCTGCTCTTGGGGGGGGGAGGAGGACCACGACCACGATCGTGGATCTCAGTCTTCCTGCAGAAGCAGGGGGTTGCACTCTGCGCATAGGGGTTTTGCCAATGAGGCAGCTCCTGACTCTGGCACTGGTCCATGGGACATTGCACGAAACCAGCTGTTCAGGCCACTCCATCTGCTGGCCTTGTGCCTATGAGACAGTGCTCCCAAGAGGGGTCTGTCGTGGGCCTGGGGGAATTCCACCCCACCAAGGAACTCTGATCTGGGTTTACAGGACCCGACCATTCAGCATGATGTGGGTTCGCCTGTACCTAGTGGGCATCAAAGTCCTGGTCTGCCTAGCCTGGCAGGCGAGCTTGTAGTCTGGGCACTTACAACCGCTCCAAGAAGATCAGAGCAGGCCAGAGTCCCACCAAAGTATTTGCAGGACTATGTGAAGTTCCTGTTAGTAGGTGGGCAGGTTTAAGTGTTCCTTAGAAATCAGAAAATGCTCAAAAGAATCGAAAAGGTGTTAGATTTGTAGTATTGCAAAATAGTAAGGGCTATGTTTTTTGAGCTAAGAGGGGAGGGGTGTTATGTCCCGGGCTGTGATTGACACAGCAGGTGCAGGAAGCTGCAGAGAGACCCGGGCAGTCCATGTGGCTGCCCGGGCCAGACAGGCTGTCTCCAGCCTATTGCGCATGCGCAAGGCGGGAAAGGTCCATTGCATTGATTGGTTGATGCTGCTCCCTGTAAGGGGGTATAAAAGGGATCTGCACCATTTTGTGTTGTTCTGTCGAAGATTGAATAAAGAAGCAAATGTTGTTACTCCTGCCTTGTCTCAATGCCTTACCAATGCTCAGAACAGAACAGTAATCATTGAGGTTTTTGCAGATATCTGATTTTATTTTATTTTTTTGAAGAAATAAAAAGGAGTGAGACTAACAATGGATGTCTAGATAAATAATTTCTTGCCGTAGGTAACATGGCTCAGCTGGATAACTCCAACAGTTTCTTTCAAGCCAGTAAACAAAGATGTTAAAGCACACTGAGTGCTCCATTTTTGATGTAATGCAATATCTTCAAATGGAATGAAGTACATTCTAAATCTCTCTTCTAGCATAATTCATTAAACTGGATTACATATTGGTAGAAGAAGTTGGAAGTTTTTGTAGCAAGAAACACACCTGTTCTAAAGAATTTCTTTAGTGTATATATATCTCACTGATAGCTATAGTTTCCAAATGCATGTCTAGTTTCAAAGCAGTCGGCACAGATGATGAGAGTATGCATGTACAATTCTAGATCTTAGGTTTTAGGGTTTTCAAGACCAACATGTAGGTATAGTATGAAAATTACTTCCAATTAAATATATGTCTTGTACTTCCCTGAGTCTCTTAACCAGGACCCAAAGGACTTCCTTTCTTTTTTGATTTATATAGAAGTGCTGGTAGTAGCTAGGATAAATAATTATTTAAATTACTGCTACTGATAATAATAATTAATTAAATAATTGTTTAATCAAGAATGAATGAATATTGTTTTTCACCTTCCATCAAAGGCCTGGGTCAGAAATCCATGTTTATTTGTGGATGGAATAAACCGATTTGATATTCTTCAAGGACAAAAAATAGGTAAGGTATTGAATATTTCAGTAGTAAAAGTATGGTTTTGGAAATATCCTTGTTTGCTTGGTTCTAGTCTTTCCTCATTAAGGGTTTTCAGTGGATCTTCTGCATGCATAAAATGTTCTCATAATGGTCAAAGCTATTCCTAGGAGAAATAGAACATAAAACAATAGCACTATAGAAGAATTTGTGTTGGGAAATTACCAGCCAGGCAAGGAGAAGGAATCAAACAGGGAGTTAGACTTGAGTTATTGCGTAGCTGCGAGAGACCTAGGACTGATCCCTCCCCCCCCCTCCAGTTCCATGGAACTTTATCTGTTTGTTCCCAAGTGGAGATTCTTGTACTATAGGTAGAATATAATAAAGTAGCCTACTTGAACCTTTCACATATTGATCTGATTGCTTACAACAGGCAATTTGTGGCTTCCCACAATTTGTATTAAGAGGTATAATATATTGATAATGGACATAGGCTGTAACCATTATGAACAGAGGGCACTGATAATCTTCCCTATTAATTTGTATAATCCACATTGAGAGTCATACACCATATATTATCACAGCATATTCTATAATTTCACTTTGCATTGTAGAAATTGCTCTTTCCCCTACCCCCAATTTTTTACTCTTCAGGTTCAAAACCTTCTACCATTTTGAGATAAGGAGGGGGGGAAATCTCCACTTTCCCCACTTTGAATTATTTTATGGTCCTCTTCTAGACTACTTTACTTGTGTTTTGATACATATCCTGTCTTTTGAACAGGATTGTATTGACTGTTGCCTGGCATGGTGTTAAGTGGAAGAGAACACAGTTTGCTCTAGGAAGCAATCTCATCAAAGTTAAGTTGTCTGAAGCCTACAGTTTTCAGAGGGAGATCTAAGCATACGTTTAATTTTATGCTCTGAATTTCCTCCATCAGCTTTGTAATAAATACAAAACAGCAGAAAACAGGTGCTAGAGTTTGATAAGTGAAAAGAAAAGCTGATGGAGTATTAACTGGTAGCAGAGAAAGTAGAGTTCCAAATAGGAAACCGATGATGTGTGACGGATGTGTTTTGGAAAAAAAGAAAATTAAGGTTTGATTAGGAGAGGTTTAAAGAGAAGAAAGATGGTTTGGCTGATAAAGAGAGACAGTGCAAAGAAGCAAGGCAAATAACAAGTGAAATAAAAAATGAATAGGATATGGGTGAAAGAAAAAGTGGTAAGAAGAGGCTTGTGGAGAGGTGATGGCAGCGAGTTGGAATAAGGGAATAAAGTTACCACAGTATAGTGATGAAGCTGAGGGATAGAGAGAACACATGGAAACCAGTGGTGAATCTGTGCAGAAATGGGAAAGGAGGTGGAAAAGACACCCAAAGAACTTATCTTAAATAACTGGAGAGGATCCAAATTATTGTTTTATTCACTGGACCCAATGCTTTGATAGGAGGGAGGTGGCAAAGAGACCTGATGTAAAGTCACTGTATGTTTATACATATGCAGTATAGTTACACATATATACTCAGGGCTTTTTTTCTCATAGAACACCCAGAACAGAGTTCCGGCACCTTTTTTGGATAGAACCTTATAGGGTAGGCAAGGCGGGTTGTATGACGTGTGTGAGTTCTGGCACCTTTTTTTTTTTTTTTAGAAAAAAAACTCTGCATATACTATACATAATGTATGCAATAATGCAACCCGCAACGACATAGATCAATGACAAGGTTTCTCAATCTTGAGAACTGTAAAATATGTGGACCTTAGCTGCCAGAAGTTAGCCCTCAGAGGTGGTCCAGACAAGAAGCATCAGTCAGGACTGTTAAGACTATCTTTATTGCAAGATTATGGTAACAGAATCTTTCAGGTCTAAAAGTGCATCTCCTCCCCCTTTACCTCAATTTTCAGTCCAAGAAAGCTGGCGGGCTGGAGGATTCTGGGAATTGAAGTCTTCATATCTTAAAGTTGCTAAGGTTGAGAAACCTTAAAGCTGGTAAGGTTCTTTGGTAAGGAAGGTGAGGTAACAATTTCCTAAGGATTCCCTAAATTCAGAGTATGAAGACCCCCTCAAAATATGATTTAGTATGCATTATTTATAGTTCATTGGAGAGTATACATGATAAGGTTATCCAGGCCATTCAGTTGTTCTTGAGGTGTCTGGTCTCCTAAGACACGAGCCTTTCTCTCCAATCAAGGAAGGAGGCACTGTAACTCTCAGTAATCTTGAGTTAGAAAAGTAACTGATATCTTAAACTTATTATATCATATGGAGTGCTTTTTTTGTTAAAAAAAGGTGCTGGAACTCACTCATGTCATACAACCTACCCTACAAGGTTCCATCCCAAAAAAAGTGCCGGAACTCCGTTCTGGATGTTCTATGACAAAAAAAGCCCTGGTCATATGTAATAATATATAATGTGTATATGGTGTATTATCTATCTAAATTTATTTGACAAAGCTAAATATACAACGTGCCTGTTTCAAACTAAAAGCATTTCAAGGGGCAAATGGCATGCTAAAGCAATAATGCCTTTGAAAAAATGAAGAGATCATGTACTCAGAGTGATAAACGACACTCTTCTTCCAGTGTACCAAGGACAGAGTAAATGAACAGCAAACAATAGCAAGGAAAACAAGAAAATTGTCTTCATGAAAGATGACCTGGATATGCAAGGCATATTAGCAACTGAAGTGGAAAAGAAAAAGTATGTGTGGCAAACAAACAAAAAAAGTGGAAGGAATTAACCACAGCTTGGATCTTGGAAGAAAATGAAATCAGAATTCAAGTGTCTCCCTCGTTCCCCACCCCACAACTCTACTTCTAGAACAGCGGTTCTCAACCTGTGGGTCACGACCCCATTTGGGGTCAAATGATCATTTCATGGGGGTCGCCAAAGTCCTGGAGTTCTTCCTCATAAAATCCTTGTGAAATGCAGTCCGGCATTTTTTGTTTGTTTGTTTTTTCCCTCTTTTTCATGAGCTGTGCTACTCCCTCTTATTCTATTGGCTTTTGAAAGCCAATAGAATAGACTCTGTTCAAGAGAGTCTATTCTATTGGCATTTGAAAGCCAATATTCTATTCAATATTTTATTCAATAAGTCTATTCTATTGGCGTGTGCCCTCGGCCTGCCCGGCATGTGCTCCAGCCGCAGGAGAGGAAGTGGAGCGTGCGCACCAGAGAGAGAAAAATAAAAAGTGAGAGAGAGAATGAGAGTGAGCAAACCCCGCCCCTCCTCCTGCCCCCGCCCGCAGGGAAATACAGGTAGTCCTCGACTTACAACCACATGGTTGGGGGTCGCGGCATTAGGAAGGTTGAGAACCACTGTTCTAGAACATTAGGAAACTAATTGAACTCCAGATACTGACAGCTACCCTCAAACATTTTGAGAATTTCCCTAAGTGTTCTAGGCAGAAATATCAGCAGGGCAGCTAGCATTTATATAAAATTTTTGCACCCAAGTTATACTTGTTCTTCTGGTTTACACAGACCACAGGTGTCAAACCTGATCGCGTCAGTGACATATCATGACATATTGTGATGTTTTTTACCTTTTTGGAGCTGGGGTGGGTGTGGCCTGCATTTGACACATCTGGCTTGTAGGCTGCCAATTTGACACCCCTGACTTAGACTGATGGATAAGCTCAGGTTCTTTTTAAAGGGCTAGACTAGAAAATAAGCAGAATATGAAATGATACCAGAAAACTTGTTTTCTTTGTTTTTTAAAAAATTCCAACATCACTAGAATCTAAATCTTTAAGCATAAGTCAGGAATAACAGAGGTGGTTTCATTCATTTTCGGAATTATTTTCAAAAGCGTAAGGGTATATTTGTGTAAACTCCAATTTGTAACTTTGAAAATTATACTTTCCCTGTCCACTAAAAATACATATCTGGGAAAAAATAAATGAAACACAACTGGGTCATGTGATAAAATATTTGTAAAAAATAATTGGGAAGAAGATTGACTCAGATATGACATTCATCATACAAGACACTACATTTACACTAAATGGTAACCAGTGAAATATCCTACAACAATTTATAGTTGTTCAATCAAGAATAAAGGGATAACAATAAAAAACGTAACATGCATCCATTTACAAAATAATTGCAGAGTAACTGAGAACTGTTTCACTAAGAGTAAAATGAATTATTTCAAGAAATATTATTCAAGGACCTCCATAACAGCTGGGGTTGGGGTCATGGTTTCACCATACCAATACTTTAGACTCCAAGCCAGAGGTTAACCTTTTGGGAAAATCCCATTCAGTAAATAATACCTAATCTTTAGAATTGGGCAAATATCATGTAATTCTTTATGAACTATAAAAAAGAACCTCACCATACTGGAGAACACATGCCAGGAGACAATGAATGAATCTCATGCTGATTTCCAAGCATGTTCAGACATATTGGAAAAATCAATGGCCAGGGCCCATCAGTTGGGTTAATAGCCAAGCTCTTGTGAATTCTAGATATGAAGTTACGTGAACTTTTCTAATTTGTCATTCTAATTTGCCATTTTTTTAAAAAGGTGACTGTTGGGTTTTAGCAGCTCTGGGTGCTTTGACCCAACAACAGCGGTTCCTGAAAAATGTGATTCCTATAGACCAAGGATTTAATCACACTTATGCAGGAATCTTTCATTTTCAGGTATGTGATGCAAAATGTTGCAGTGTCTTTTTCAACTATTTTAAAACCTAGAGCTTGGATGACAATAGGTATTTCTTGTTAGCATTATTAAAGTTCAAAAGATCTTTAAATGCAAACATAATAACAAAATAAGCACAATTATAAATATATTTATTAACGTATGTAAAAAGAGGCATACAGCGGTACCTCTGAGATAAATGTAAATTGCATACTTATATCAAATGAGGGGTTTTTTTCAGAATAGCTAAAGCATTCACTACTACCATTTGTAGCCCTTGTAGTGTACAAATAAATTCAGTGAACAACAGAATAAGTCATGTCAGATTATCCACAATAATCAATTCCACGTATTATATTTAGTTCTGAATATTATATATGGCTTGCTTTTTAATGCTGATTCCAATATAGATATAAAATTCTCTGCTAGGAATTGCTTCATGACTGGCACTTCTTTGGAAGCAACCTATTAATAAGAAGCAGAATCTATAAATGCTATCTGAAACCATTTTTCACTGCCCCCTTATCAGCAGCTCAATACACCTGGATCTATAGTTCTTCCTGCAAGATCAAACTGAAGCAAAGAAAAGCAATCCCCAACCTTGTTTCTCTAAATCAAAAGGTCCAGTCTGTAATATTTTTATATTATCTCTTCAAAGTTGCTAACTTGCTAATTAGTTTCTGTCCAACTTTGTGAAGAATATTCTTTTTAAAAAATAAAATAAAATAAAGAGATCTACTTACCAATCTACCTTTGTTACCTGCATAGCCATGACACTGTTTTCTTTCAGGATAAGTAATGTTCTGCTGAGTGCACAGACAATATAAGAAACACTAAAACAAAGGAATTAAAACACATGAGATAAGATAAAAGAAGAAAAATTCAGCAGCTAAAACTGCTTTGTGCCAGCCCTGTTTATTATACCCTTGATATTTTTTTATCCTTTTAAACCATCTTTGTTTCCACTGTCTCCATACATCATTTATATTTTGCCTTTTATTTCCTAAGCTTCTCACAATTCTCTTTTTCAGGATCTCATCAGCCCATAATGTTCTAGGTCTTCATCTTCTCCCAACTCATTCACTCTTCAAATATTTGTTTTACAATTCACTCCTCATTCATTCTCTCTATATGCCTCTCCAAGGCATCTTAACACATTTCTTACATAGTGATAATTCATTTGCATATAGCGTCCACATTCATTCAGCATCCATCCACTCTTGAACCTATCTCTTCTCTTTTTATCACACACTTCTTAAGTACTCCATTCCCACTGCATTCAACTTCATAATTCAAAACAAATTATGTTTTTCCCCTTGCACTCTCATAAAACAAATTAGGCAGAAGTGCACTACTATGCACAATTGTTTTATCTTCTTTTAACAGCAGCAACAAAAAGTGTTCCTTGCTATCTCAGCACATAACTATATTACTTTTCTACCAGCATTTGTATTCTTAAAAAGTACTTTTATTACGGTATATAAAATCTACTGTTGCTAGTTTTTACCATTTAAGTATAACTTGCAGCAGTTTGCTCCATTTCCTCTATTAAAGGCAACTACTTTGTTTTTCAATTAACCATTTTTCAGACTATTTTGCAAGCTAAAGTTTGTTACAAACAATGTGTATTCTCAATCAACAACACAGCATCATCTGCACACAAAAATACACATGCAGTCATATCCCCAACTTAAACTCCTCTAGTATCATCACAAGCCTTCTCCATAACATTGATGTCAACGCTGCTAATATTGAATATTCTTGCTTTGACAAAATATGCAGAACTGTCTGGTATTTTTAGAGTTAATTCAGATGACAGAGAAAGGGGAGGAGAATTATAAGGAAAGGGGGGGGGGGAGGAACAGAAGTGAATCTTTGCCCTCCAGGTTAATTGGAAGATGTGAATCATGACCCCAGAATAGGGGAGGGGAAATGCCTGGAATGTTATGTTCAAAGGAAGGGAAATTCAGATCTTGGCATCCACCATGCCGTACTGACCCCCCTCTACACTAATAAAAAGGCCTTTTAGGTTAAACCATGCCTGAAAGTTCTTTGAAGTGTTTCAAGTGTTTCACATGACAATTGATTCATAAATACATCCTACTTCCTTGACTTAAACCTTATTCAATGTTGAACCATACACTAAACATTGTTTGCTTTCACGCCTAGTGCTTTTAATTCCATATTCACATAAAACTTTCAGGCGTATTTATTACTTATTAAATGACAGTATGGCAAAGTCATCCCCTTGATGTTTCTTTGTGACCTTCCAAAGATTTGACCTTTCAAGGGCTTCATTCTGTTCTCCCTGAATCTTTCAAAGTCCCCCATCTAAGCAACCATTCAGTGCTAAAATTGATCCCTGATACTTCAGCTTATGTCTTTGAGGAGATTTGTCTCATAGAGCTAGCAAAGTCATGGCATACTCCATTAGCTGGCTAATGATGGCAGAAATGGATTCTTTGGTTTGTCCGTAGTGAAATCTTTCTTTACTCCTTTCTTGAAACAATTGATATGTACTTCATAGATGAACACCTGTACTCTCCAGCTGCTTAAGTGGCCAGCAGAATCCTTTTCTTTCATACTGTAGGTAAAATAATCTTTTAACTATTGTATTTCATTGTAGACACAGTCCATTGTATGATTTGGCAAAACGAACCAAGCAGCTTATGCTTAATCAATAGTTATTGAAAATATAATGCTTGAGGAGAATGAAGGGTTGTTGTTGTTGTTTTAAAAAGCAATTAATTTCACATACTATCTTTGTCAGCTAGGCTGTTTGAAAAGCAGTTTATCTCTTAGACTGTTTTAATCAATGAATCACACAATAATTCTACAATAAATACACATATGCATCATTCTACCAAGCAATATCCGTCAATTTTTTATATTTAAATAAGTGATTTACTGCTTTCTGAAAGGAAGTTGTTTGAGAAGGAGTGTACACCCTTCTGACAGGACTATCTTTAGATGCAGGAGTTTCAGATAACTATCCTCCAATATTCAATCTTCCCTGTTTTGTATTAATAATGCCTAATTTATGAGATTATGGTATAATCTTATATAATTATGGTATAATTCTTTCAATATGGTTATTTAAAAATTATATAGATGGAGCAGAAAAATACAAAATTTATTCTCTGTGCAAAGAAGAAAAGTTCTTTTGTTGTTGTTAACGATGATTTAGAGAAAAGACAAAGTAACTACAAAGTTGGAATTTTTTTTCCTTTTTCTTTGTTGTGAAAAAAATAAGAGGAAGACCCTACTTCGCCTGTTCTCTGGTTCTAGAGCCTGGATCATCCAGTGAAACCAATTCTATTTGATTCAGGATAGATTGAAACACCTCAGTTCATTAATTACCTTATATAATTGACCTTCATAAATGTAGAGTTAAGTTTACAAACTTTAAAATGGCATTAAACAGATTTAGTTGTGATTGTGATTATAGATTCAGATGCAATATATGTTTAAATATTTCCTGCTGGAACATGTAAAAACAGAATCAACATAGAAGGATTTCATGTTGTCATTTTAGTGCCCTTAAAACACCTGGATGTTTGTTGTTAAAATCAGGATACTGATTTGTAGCCTAATACTGAAAAGCTCTTATTATAATATCTTGTTAATCTATGAATTTGACCAAGGCCACCTGCCTGTGCGAAATTGCTCTGGACATTCACTAAAGCAAGACTACTGGTTAAGATGTAAGATGGGGAAATCCAAATGAAAGCCTTGATTAACTGAAAACATTAATTTTGTTTTGGAAAATTCATTGGTTGTAGATGATCATTATTATTTTCCAGTAATTTGGAAATTAACAGGAAGACAATTGCAATGCATACAGTGTTCTTGTACAGTATCATAACACTGATACTGTTTGAATGGTAATTATTTAAATGGTAATTATTCTCAAAAAGTTATGTAATGGTCTGAAGAATTTAATTCCCTATGTTTCAGCAATTTCTCTCCAAATCTATTTTACCAAGTAGAAAGTAAGAAAAGTATATACGTAGTTTATACATTTAATTCCCCATTTGTTTCTAAATTAGACAGACTTAAATATGATTAATTCAATTGTATAACTAGATATGGATATAGATGTAAAATTAACTTTGTTTTGTTAAGAGACATGTATAAATTTGGAGGAGGGTACTTCTTTTTCTCTCTGTCTTTTTATGGTCTTTCTTTCATTTTTGCCTATACACTTAAAAAAAGAAAGAGAGAAATAGCCTCCACTCAATTATGAAACCTCCTATTAATTTCAAAACATGCATTTTCTTTCAATCAAGTCTAATTCAAAAGGTTCTTGTGAATTTATAATGAAAGGACACTTCCATGAGCACCCCCTTGATTTCCAAAGAATAGGAAAAAATTCTAGTAATAATTATTTAAAAAATTCATTTCATGATGTGCTATAATGAAAAACTATTAAAATTATCCTTCTTTTTCTTGTTCTGTAGTTCTGGTATTTTGGAAGCTGGGTTGATGTGGTGATAGATGACCGTCTGCCTTTCATGGATGGAAATTACTTATCAGTTCATCCCAGGAGCACAAATGAATTCTGGCCACCTCTGCTTGAGAAAGCTTATGCCAAGTAAATATTTCCAAAACCTGATTCTATTTCAAGTTTTGCTTATATGTCTCACCACCATATGTATGTGTGTGTATGTCTTTGTTTATAGTCATTTACTAGTTCAATCACTAGTTTCAACGTATAGATATCTTTAACAGATTCTCCATGAAAAAAATCATGAGGCCATCAATGGAGAAAAAAAGTTACTTTCCTGCTTCATTTAAAACTCATATGATTACCTCGACTTATGATACAATCGAGCCCAAAATTTATGCTGCTAAGTGAAACAGTTGTTAAGTGAATTTTGCTCCATTATGCAACTCTCATAAATATGACTCAGTTGTTAAATGTCTGAATTTTGATTATGTGACCATGGAAATGCTGCCACGGTTGTGTGAAAAACAGTCGTAAGTCACTTTTTTCAGTGCAATTGTAACTTTGAACGGTCACTAAATGAACTGTTGTAAGTCGAGGACTACCCTACTAGTCCTTGAAGAAGCAATAATACAATATTAATAACTCTTTTAAGATTAAGGTCTCACTTACAACCACGATTGAGCCCAAAATCTCTGTTGCTAAGAGATATAGTTAAGTGAGTTTTGCCCCATTTTATGACCTTTTTTAATAACAGTTGTTGTTAAGTGAATCACTGTAGTTGTTAAGTTAGTAACACAGTTGTTAAATGAATTTGGCTCCCTCATTGACTTTGATTGTCAGAAGGTTGCAGAATACATCCCACCAAATGTAGCAGAGATGGCAAGATTTGAATCCTTTCTATCAAATAGTGTTATTGGTTGGTTCCTGGAGCCATGCCTTTTTGGTGGCAATGCCTGCCCTGTGGAGTAGCATCCCCCTGGAAATGGCCACAGTCCTGTTAGTCTCCCATAAGGTTAGTGAATTCTGCTATTGTTGATGCGATTGACCAATCTTTAAGATCAATCCAAAGTCAGGTCACTTAGCTATAAAGGTAGGAGCCCAATCAATATAGCACAGAGATGGAACAAAATAAAAATTGTCTGATTAAATGAATGCAAAACTTTTAAAGAAGTAATAACAGTGGAACCATAGGAAAAATTATGGGGAAAAAAATCATGAAATTTACTCCAAGCTACAGTTTGAAGGCAAATTGGAACAAAATCTTATACAGATGGTATATAATTGAATGATTACCGAGGTAGAAAAACGATTTAACAATAAATATTGGAAATGCACAATAAGAAAGGAATAATTTGTCATATGTGGTGGTTATGCAAAAAGTCTTGAAATTACTGGAAAAAATACACAAAATTTAAAAAAAAAATCTAAAAATAAAATTAGAATTTATATTAAAAATTATATTTTTATAAGGTATGTTTCCAAAAAACATAAATAGAAACTATCACAATTTATTAAGATATTGTACATACAAGCAACAGCAAGAAGCAATCTGGCACAACACTGAAAAAAAGAAACCTTACCAAGAAACCTTGTAGCATTTGTTTTAATTTTTGTATGCCATCCAGAGTCATTTTTGTGAGATGGGCAGCCCCCATCTAAATAGCTAATTAAGGTTAGGGTTAGACAAAGCAATGATGATAGACTTTTCTTATTGTTTCTTTTCATGCATTTTTAATTCCAGAGGCTGGGAAACAATTTTGTTTAAGTGGACTTTAAACATTTAAACATTGCAAGTGCAGCACTGTGTAGATTTATATAGCGTACAGTGCAAATCAGTCACAAAATAAATAGAAGTTGATGGGGTCATTGTTGGGATCAGTACCAAAGATATGTCTTTCATGGTGTGAAAGTATTGAGCCAGTGCTAAGCAGGGTTGGACTTTTTTAGTAAATGAATGGAAATTGTCAGGATTTAGAAGAGGCCATGGAGGGAAAAGAACAATCTGGAGGAAGGCAAGAAATGACATGGATATATATCTTCATGATATATATCTTCATGATCATCAGAAGTCCAATTACTAAACTTCTATTATCTTCTCTCTGGAAATGTATACATATTTTTGACTCCATATGACACTTTTTCTAGCCACACTTTTCTATAAATCAGTACTAGTGTGTATTTTCTCTTGCTAACAAGTGTGCAGTTTCAACTAGAATCAGTTCAGATCATTTTCAGTGAACCCAGCCTTCATCAAATGTGAGTCGAGTTGTCAGTCCCCAAAGGACAATGTCAGAAAAACAAAACAGGAAAAGCAATAAAAAACAACTTTAGTTACTTTAAAAAGTCACTCCAAATGTGTTATCTGCATACACACATGCACACAGACATAGACATAGAGACACACACAGACACACACAGAGAGAGAGACTCTAAATTAATTGATTATGTGCTAGTGTCAACTTTTAGTGACACTTAATTTTTTTTCTAGAGTACAAAGGCTGGTCCTTCAGATCTATTGCTTCTCTGGGTCCATTTGTCTTGTTCCTAGTCAACCTCTGCTCTTTCCCTCAAACTATCCCAGCATTAGAGACTTCTCCAGAGAACTACATCTTTGCATAATATGCCCAAAATTTGATAATTTGAGCCTGGTCATTTCTGCTTTGAGTGAGACCTCCAGATTGATCTGTTTTATCATCCATTTGATGGCTATTCATGGTATTTTTAAGAGTCTTCTACAGAGTTCAGATATGTTAATAGTCTTCTATCCTACTTCTTCAAAGTCTAAAATATTATAAATGAATATTTAATTTTTTTTGTTTCTCAAATTTACAAATGGAATCATACATTTTCCAATTGTTTACATTTATTTTTGTCTGATTGCTAGTTTCTATTTCTAACTTTAATAGGTTTTATTTTTACTCTATTTTTAAGTTCAATATTATATATATTTAAAATATATAATTTTTATTAAAGCTTTTTTTAAAAAGATAAAACTAATATAAACTAATACAAAGTAAAGAAGAAAAGATATGAAAAGAAAACAAAGGGAAAGCAAAAAGTACAAGAAAAGAAAACAAAGAAGAAACAGAAAGGAAAATGCTAGGTTGGAAACATTAGCTTTAATAAAATAAACCATGGATTTCTATTTTTTTTTTTTAATTCAGGATGAAGCTCAGATTGTGTTGTTACTTTTATTAAATGACACATGCTACTATTGTAGTGAATTCTGATTCCTCTTTTTTTTGTTTTGTGTTAATAATTATAAGCTCAAAATAAAATAAAAAAGACTTGAAACATGCTTTTTAGTCTTTAGTCTGATGAACATTCAATGATATGAACTAAATAAAAATGGAACAAATAATAAATACCTAGGCCAGGGGTAGGCAACCTTAGCTCTTTTATGACTCCTGGACTTCAACACCCAGAATTCCTGAGCCAACCATGCTGGCTCAGGAATTCTGGGAGTTGAAGTCCATGAGTCATAAAAGAGCCAAGGTTGCCTCCCCTGACCTAGGTTGTGTTTAATTTTATTCTTACTTTCTTGTTTAATTATTTGTGGCAGATCTCCTTCCAACAGAGAAAATGTTTTTAACTTTGGGTTGTAACCAAGGCTGTTGTTTTATCTTTCAGGATATGATGCATGATATAGTTTTTGCATGCAGCATTAAACAATGTATAAAGGCTTATCTGGGGACAAAGATTTGTCAGAAAAGAAAACTGCAGGGATGTTTTTACAAGTATTTTCAGTTATTTACAGAACTTTCTACAACGTTTTCTTGTAGAAGACTTTTTCTGAAGCTCATATTTATGTAACATCTCAACCCAGCTTCACTTCTGCGTTTGCCCTTCTTCCTGGAAAACTGGAAATGTTTCCAGCCTATTGGAGCCCACTATCTTCTGGGCTAGAGGGATGATTAAATAAGACTCTTTGTACTTAACCCATTCAAAAAATGGAACCATAATATTCTTGGATTGTACTGTCTGAAATTTTGAAGTCATGTTTCATTCAGATTAACAGAAAGTGGGGGGCAACACCTGCTACCTTAGAGAGTTTGTCGTATTGTGTTCTTCAATGGCTCTAAAGAGTAAATCCAACACAAGATGGACTTGAACTGTCCTTTTTCTCTGGGTTACTGTGTTGTATGATGACTACAAACATTCTTCAGTTCTCTTAATTGCATATGAGATATTGAACCTATTCCAGGATATGCATGGGGCTAGATGGATGGATGTGTATATTTATTTATTTATGTGAAAAAAGAAAGAAAGAAAAAAGAAAGAAAGAAAAGAAAAAGGAAAGAAAAAAGAAAAGAAAGAAAGAAAGAAAGAAAGAAAGAAAGAAGAAAAAAGAAAAAGAAAGGGGATGAATTAGAACCAAGAAAAGACTTACTGTTTGTATTGAATTAAGAAATGAAATAAATCTAAAACAATGAACTATTAACAAATATATAGTATAATCCATTTACTGACTTTTAATTGACAAAGTAAGAAAAAAATTATTTAGCCTATTAGGTAAATCAAAAATGGCAATATAATAGAAATATACTTTTAATTTAAAGCCATGTTTCTATTTCTAGTCTTACTTAACAGAACACACTAGTGGTGCTAGAAAGAAAATTTACCATTAACCTACCTGAACTTCTCTAACCATCAATTTTCTTTTATATTTTTATACATATAAACATTCTGTGTTGTTTCCCTTTTGCTGCCTACCCTGAATGTCTTCTCTTTTCTTCTAGATTGCGTGGTTCTTATGAGAAGTTGCACTACGGCTTTATCTCAGAAGCTTTCGTAGATCTCACAGGTGGGGTCCAGTTTGGATTCAGTCTTGGAAATCTTACTGATCATTTGTTTGAAATAATGAAAACTGCTACTTTGTCAGGCTGTCTAATGGCATGCAGCACTCCTGAAAGGGTAAGTTAGAAGTTAGCTTTACAGAGACTGGGATCCTGTTGTTCAGAAGAGATTCTCAGAATAGTTTCTCTAAAGTTACTAGAAAAAATCCTTTAGATATCAAAACATCAATAACCGTGACAATGTACAGTTGGAAGGTTCTTGGAAAATTAAAAGATCTTTACTTGTGATGAAATGATGCATTTAGGACACAAACAATCCTTTCATGGTGCAGAACAGTTCATAGTTTGGATAGTGCTAAGAAGAATGTCAGAAAGCAAGAAAATAAACTAGTACCTCTATTGACCCACAAACATATATGATCATAAGATAATACTAGAAAGTTGGGAGACCCAAGCCATAGAAACTTCTGAATTTGACCCAAGGAACCAAGTGGAGTTAGGACTTCAGAGTCAACAACTATCTGTGGAAAATCAAACTTGTTTGGCACTGCTCCTTGTTACATCTGCAGATCATATTAATTCTGAGATGTGCCTTTTACTGGGTTCTGTTGACCTTCTGACAAAAACAGAACATATCAGTTACTTATGTCTTAATAAATTCCAGATTAAGCTATGGCAAAACTCTTTCTTGGGCAAACTGACTGATGCAAGATGTGGCAAGAGCTAGGAATATCTCTTCCTGTTTGCTTCCAGTTGGTTTCTAGAGCATCTTCTTCCATATATTCTTGCTTCACGCCATTTGACACTATTTTAGACCTCTTGATCAGTTAAGATAGCTATAAATTCTAGAACTATTTCTGTGGTTCCATCCAATTATAAAATCTTCAGCCAACAGAAAGTATTCAGGAGCTATGGACAATCAATCAGTGGAACAGCTTACCCCAGAAATTGTGGGCACCCCATCACTGGAGAACTTTAAGAAGAGACTAGACAATCACTTGTCTGAGTTTGGTGTAGGTTCTCCTGCTTAAGTGGGGGGCTGGACTAGAAGACCTCCAAGGTCCTTTCCAGCTCTATTCTATTATTATTTAGTTAAAAGTGTTAATATCTCTTGGATTAGTTGCTCTTCTTACAATTTTTTTATCCCTGATTTAGTCATTTGGGCTTTTAAGACTTTTACATAGGCCCTTGTTTTAAATATTGCTCATTTCTTATTGTTTGCCAGTTTACTTTTTTCCTCTGGAAATAAATAGAACATAATCTTTGAACTACGTGACATTATAACACCTTTTCATTATTACCCATTCCTGTCCCAAATATTCTTTAGGATGTAGCAAAAAAATAAATAAATAAAGTTTCCCCCCACCCTGAATAAATCCAGCAATCTGCTGCTTATGGAAGTTGTCACATTTTGACTATTTTCCCACTAGCATCTCAACTGGCATTCTCCCTTCCATGTTGAAATCCTAAAGAGTTGGTCAGAATGCTATTTTTTCTTGTTTTCTTGTTTCAATACTTCCAGTGGGCTTGTAAGTTGGATGTAGTAATACAGATGGGCAGATACAAGCAGAGTAGCTTGGATAAGAACATTCAAACATGTTTTGTCTTTAGGACTCAGTTTGATCTCAGTAATATCCTTACAGCCAGATCCTTTACATACCTACTTGCTTATTTACTTACTCCCCTATATTTGATTCTGTTCTTCAATTAACTATTGTTTCCCAAAGCAGCTCATTTCAATTTAAAAAGAAGAATAAACTCTAAAGCCAGTTCACAACCACCAGTAAACAAACATAAAAGAATGAGGAATAGAGGGAAAAGGAATTAGAGGAAATTCAATTATTTAAGTTGACATTTATAAGATGGCATTTATTGGCAAGTTTGGGATGGATGATTTTCCTTTGCTGGTGTTTTTCTTAAATAGGAATTGGTGGAATTGGATTCCCTATCCACAACTGAATCCAGAATATTCTTCTTTTTTTGCATCTTCTAAATGTAGATTAACCACCCACAATAAAGATATAAATTAAGTTAACCCCAAATTTCATAGGAAAGGGTTTGGAATGTTTCAACAGAATCTATTATGGAATTGGCAATAGTGTGAGTCAGTTAGTCTAGTGGTTAAGGGACCAGGCTAGAAATTGGGAGACTCTGATACCTTAACCATGAAAGCCATCTAGCTGACTTTGGGCCAGTCATTCTTTCTTAGTCCAACCCATCTCACAGGATTGAGGAGAAAATAGGAGGAGGAGCAGGAGGAGTATTGTGGATGTTTACCACCTTGAGTTATTTGTAAAAATAATAACGGCAGGAAACAAACAAACAAGCATAGCCTAGCTAGCATTTATCATTCCACTCCCCCAAAAAGTGGAATAAACCCTGATGCATAAAGTTGTTAAGGAATGTTTTTCTGGCTTTCTTTAAAACTTCAAAAAAAGATTGGCAAACAGTCACAGCATGCTTTCTGCAGAAAGATTTCTACATCTTATCCTCTATTTCCTGGTCATGGAGCACCAGAGAAAATCCAATGCCTATGTATACAGAGCCCAGTGCTGCTATAAACTCACCACACTTATTAAAGGTTAAACAAAGCTGGAGGGTCTTTAAGCAGCTTATATATTTTTTAAAATACAATTCCCATCTGCCCTTGCTAACTCTCAATAACAGCGTACTATTTGGGCTTAAGCAGACTTTCTCAGGAAAAGAAAATGAGAGCCAGAAATTTATTCTGCTAAGGGGGAAACAGATCATCCCTTCTCAAAAGCAGAAGAGGCAAATTAAAATGCATATGCCTTATAGTGCTCTTAAGTAAACCCCTGCTTTTGACTGCTTGTGTTGCTTTAAAAATAGGGAGCTTATCAAACACAGCAGGTGGCAAGTCAAAGCTATTCAGCTGATTTAGCTCAATTATGCTTATGCCATAAGTAGTACATGTCCTAAGGGTAAACACCCATAATTTTAGTAGGGGCTGTGCCTCTCCCATGAAAAAAGATCCAGATTTTTCTTCCCATCAAACTAAAAAAAAAAAAAAAGGTAAGAGAATCTTTGTCTATGGAGGTTCTCAATCATCCAGGTCATGGTTGTCCCAAAGGTGCTTTTTTCACAAGGCAACTGAACTTTCTTGTTTTTTCTTTGAAGATGTTTCATTTTTCATCCAAGAAACTTCTTCAGCTCTGACTGGATGGTGGGGAATGACAGGATTTATACTCCTTGCAGACAGCTGGTCATTTGCATTCTTTTAGAGAGTCATTGAGGCCACTTGGGGTTTATCTGTGTCATCAGATACAGGTGACCCTGACAAACAGATAAACCTCCATGTGGCCTCAATGACTTGTTAAAAGAATGCAAATGACCAGTTCTCTGCAAAGAGTATAAAATCCTGCCATTCTCCCACCATCCAGTCAGAGCTGAAGAAACTTCATGAATGAGAACTGAAACATCTTCAAAGAAAAAAACAAGAAAATCCAGTTGCTTCATGAAAAGAGCACCTTTGGGATAAAGGAATCCTTGCAGATTTTATTCCATTAGTCATTGCTACTTTAGAGGCTAGTACTCATCTCCAGTTCAAGGAGATTGAGCCAGTGTTGTCCTCAGACAGTGTTGTCTGAAGACATTTCTGTGATCATGTGGCTGTTACCCTCCCACCGAAGTGGGACCTTTTATCTATTTGCATTTGTTTGAAGCTGGGGTGAGGACAGGAATTCATCCTGTTGCATGGCACCAGGATTTGAACCAGGGCTGCCTGCTTTCCAGCTGACAAGCCCAGTGTCTTAACTGCTGAGCCACTGTGACATCAAAATAAAGCTACCCAGTTATTTGTTGGACCAAATGTAAATGTTTTAGAGAGAGTAAAACTGTTTTGTACCCTTTCAGAAAAAGCCGGATAACCAAGTATTGGAAAATGGAATTGTGCAGCAACACGTCTATGCTGTTATAGATGCCACAGAGGTAAAATAAATAAATCTCTCCTTTCACTATAATCTTCTCTTCTAATTGGCAACTATTCTACTGGTTTTTCTTTATTTTTGCTGATACATTGCTTTATGAACCAGAAGGCAATATTGTGTGATTCCTTTCCTCACAGTGATTTCACCATTTCACTCCTGCTTTCCAAAAATACTCCAAACAACTTTTTGTTAGAGTAAAAAATAAATGATTAATTTAGTCAAGTCCATAGTCAACCAATTCACTATTTTCAAGTAAAGGATTAAGAACTCTAAGCCGGTAGTTAATATTTATTGGCTAAGTCAATAGTACTAAAAGATAGCTTGCTACTGAAAAAGAAACCCCAGCAAATTTTAAGAGGCTATCAGAATGTAAATGAATGAAGACATAAGTAGGCTCATTCCATGGAGATAATTTAATTTGAGATTATCATAAGCAAATTGATTGTGTTCAATGCAGTGAGAACTAGGGTTCATTGTTAATGTTGGAAGATTTCAAGGTTTGGAAACCACATAGTAGAAATGACATCCTCTAACCTAAGTAGATATTTTAAGGAAGCTAGTGTGACCTCATAGGACTGATACAAGGCAGAACCACCTTGCTCAAGGACAAGCTGCCAAAAGAATGGAGTTGCCACAGCAACACTCAAATCTATAACTGCAGGTGATTTTGATGAGGACTCACAAGATTTCCTGAAAAGAGCATGACAGATGCTCCTTTAAGGTATTAATTTAATGAGTCATTGGCCAACTGCCAGCTTCTGCACTTTCATTTAAATACCTGCATAGAAGCCCAAGAAAGAGTCTTCATTCTGTTTGTTGAGAAGGCCTCAATATTCATGTAATTCAGCTGCCAGGAATTGAGCAGTTGCATCAGACAATAATCAAAACTCTCCCGCCATATCCCTTTTTTCTATGTGAAGAAGTGGTGGGATGCATTCTTATTACAATTATCATCATTGTCATCCCCAACATCATCATCTAACCCTCTGGTATAAGTCAGAGCAATTTCTGTTGGCTTTCTGGGTACCAAGAAAAACAATTCTACAGTTGATGCCAATGTGAAATGAATCCTGCAATTCAACTGCTCTGACATTTATTTCAATTACAACACAAAGGTGGGGGAGTCAAGTTGTAAAATGCAGAGATACTTAGGAGGGTCAGAAAATGGGGTTCTTCATTATTTTCTGCAGGAGATATAGTAGAGTAGCACCACTGCACCATTTCTGAAATCTTCCCCATTAAACATGCTCGTAATGTCCATATGTGTAGTGTGCAAGTTTGTTGAGATGCACCAATAGACAAAAAAAAAAAAAAATGTTTGCTCTGAGCCTTGGGATGACATTATTCCTACAAAATCTCTGAATAACAGGCTGTTTCTTGTGTTAAATGAAACAATTGCCCTATATAGATAAGAACATTGAGTATTTCTGTAGACTGATTTTCAACTATTGTCTGATAGCTCATGGTACCGTAGTTCATGCATGATGCTGAAGTTAAATATGGATAAATCTAGTTAATGCCTATGCAAGAAACCACTTGAATACTCATGGCCTTGATTTCCATTCCATTCCAGAATAAAAGAATGAGATCTAGATGTAATAAGTAAATCTGTGAATTCAGTGTTAAAAATTAGCAAGGCTGCTGCTCTGAATGGCATGCTATTTTCATACTTTCAGCTTTCATGCAAACTGCCTATGCTTGGTTCTATAGATCTGTAATCTCACAGTAAATACACACACAACACACACACACACATGCACGTGTGCACGCCCACACACACACACACAGTCAATAAAAAAATTCATCTGCATTGATAATCTATCTCTTTCATTTTCTGGGAACAAGGACCATCTTTTTTTGTAATAAAAGACAGAGAGACAGCAAGAAGGATGGAATGTAATTTAAATTTTCCAGAAAGTCTACTGCTGAAGCCTTGAAGGTTCTTTTCTATTTGATAGAAAACATAATAGAATTATACATCCCTTAAAGGATAATAAAACCACATCTAGTGACAACCACCCAAAAATGTGGATTATGCTACATAGCTCAAGCTCAAGAACAGCTTTGCAGTTTGCATTGAAATGGAGGGTCAGAAATTTGGAATGGGATGAAGAAGTCATTTACTCAGGCTTATTCTTCCAAAGCACAAGCCTTTGCCTTCCCCAAATATTAATATCATCTTCTCTAGAGTAGATCAATTTAGCCAGAAGAAATAATCCAACAATTGTGAAAGAAAGGAAAGGAGTTATTGCACTTAAGAGGATCAGGATGAGGTTAGTGCTCATCCCACCATAGACATAATTTCTGATGCTAATATCCACAATGACAAGAGAAGAGGTCTTGAAAGACAGCAAATTTATCTAATCCTCTGGTTTTCCTTTCATCAGTAGCAGCAAGCCTACCCATTAATATGAGATACATCTGGCTTTCTGCAAAGGGAGAGAAGTACTCAGTGGTGACAATAGCTCTTGACATTTATTGTCTTGCAAACATCTTGATCTAGACTAGAGTTAAGCAGCCAAATATATTATGAAGTCATTTCTCTTTGAAGACCAGCTCCAATTCTGAAGGAGCCTTTCACAAAGTAACTTCTAGTGGGTTTCCTCCTAGATCTGTGGATAATGGGTCATGGAAAAAAGAGTACTACACTAGATGACTGGGTCTGTGAGATGTATTTTGTGAGTCTTATGGAAAATTGAAATAGCAAATCCATTTGTCTAGCTTAATTATCAGTGTTCAGATGTTGCTACAACATGGACACCTCTTTTAGATACCCTTCCCACCCACACTGCATACCATCACATACATATATGAAATGTAGAGACAATCCAATCCCCTATGAGAAAAAAATTGTAATCAATGCATTTTAAAGTTCCTTTGTATTTGAATACAGCACTTTGGAAGCCAAGAATGATACCATTGTTGTACAGAATGTGTGATTAAAGAGATAATGATATTCATACAGTATTATGATTTAATATATTCTCTTTAAGCATAAAGACTTTAATTATTATAATGACTTTGCTTAAGCCATAAACTTTTATGATTAAGGTGATGCATTAACCACTGGCTCCATACCAGGAACTATACTAAATAATACTTATCTACCAATGATTTCTCTATAGAAAGGTGAAATTCTCATGATATTCTCAGGTTATTCTAATCAGCCCCTAAACAAAAAGATTGAAGGATTTGGTTTATATGCAGAAGTTCATCCCCCCCCCCCACACACACACATAGGATTATACTGAGAAAACTAACATGAACTAGCCTGTGCATGGATATGATGTGTAGCAATTTCTGAGTTATAAAATGGTGGCATCGCAGTTATATAAGTTGCTGGTTCATGCTCCATGCAGTGTCATCACAGTTAGGAGTGGAAGGCAAAGCAGCTGGGTCACATGGCTGAATTAGTTGTAAGAACAAGGGGAACATGTTGGTTATTTCTGAGGGAATGAATTGCCTGAAATCTGAGCTTGCTGTCCCACCAACTCAAGAATTTGTTACTAGATTCTATCATATATTTCTCATGCAAAACATTTCAGAGACTTATATGAAAAGAGATTCTAGAATGACCTTGAAGGAGACCTTTTTGGCAATCAGTATAGAATTAGGAAAAAAAATACATTCCAAGTGTGAACAGATAGCACTTAGATACTGATTCAGAGAGGTTTATATCCAAATGAGAGTCAAATTCAGAATTCAGTGAATATGTTCCAAGATGACAGACTTTTTAGATGTATTATGCATCTCCCTGGAAGCTTTTTATGTTTATTATTTATGTAAGTGGAAGTGCATAAAGCAATGCCTCCTAAAAGAAACTTTTTTTTTCCCTAGAGATCTGCATATCACCCAAAGCCCAAATGAAATTTTCATAAATCTACAGGTTACTTTTATTTTTGTAATAAATGTTGATTGATTGATTATGTGCCACCAAGTCAATGCTGACTCCTAGAGGCCATAGAGATAGATTTTCTCCAGGATAATCTGTTCTTAACCTGGTCCTTCAAGTCTTTCAATATTGCACCCATTATCACTGTAACTGAGCCCATCTTCACTTTCTTTTCAATAATAAATGTTAATATGAAGAAAAAGGACTCATATCTATAAATTTGGTCTAGCAGTATCCCTGGGATCAGGATTAGGATGTGAAGAATATGAGGATTTTATATTCTGAATAAGGCAATGTGATGGTCTGACCTGTAAACTATTTCTATTCAGAAAAGGATTTCCCTAACAGGATCACATCTGTCTTTATCTAAATATACTTCAAGAGATAGCCACTAAAATATAAAAGAATGTATCTGTGTGCCTCTTTCCTCATGCAAAATATATAAAGTTAGGATGTTTTCTCTTCCTTTCTTTTTTAACAGGTTCCTTACATGTACAGGAAAGAACGTCTAATCAAACTCTGGAATCCGTGGGGCACTGTGGAATGGAATGGAGCTTGGAGTGATCAGTATGATGTTGCAATCTTTTAATTTCTTAAGAAGGATGACTCCCTTGAGGTCTTGGAATAAGAACGCTCTTTAAGAGTTAGCATGTAGGGACTTGGCATAATAATACTGCTGCAAGAACTAATATTGCAACCCAAGGGTCGGCATTTCATGCTCTATATTAAAATTCAAGGCATCCCTAGCCATTTCCATCCCATTTATCTTCATTCAGATAATGCCAGATCTTACCATTTTTGATTAATTGTTTCCTCCCACACCCCAAATTGAATTGTTACTCCAATTTGAACTTAACAGGCAAATTTAAATTGGATAAATGATAACTTTTATTTAATATATGTATACAAAACCTCAGCCAATATTGTCTGTGGGTATGTATACAGAAATCATGAAGCCAAATAAGCCAGAAAGGGATGTTCAACCTTGATAATGTCAACACCTGTGGATTTTAGCTCCCCAAATTCTGTAGGGAATTCAGGGAACTGAGGATCGCAAGTCTTAAAGTTGCCAAGATTGGACACCCCTGATCTAGAAGATCCTAAGCTGGAAACTGATCTTATCTCCCCTACAATGCTTGGAAAGTAGTTGCAGAAGCAGAGATCCTCTGTTGTTGCCACTACCACCATCACCATCTCTGGTAAGAGATCAGTAGGTGGTGCCAAGAAAAGCATTGTTACAGCTGTTTATTGCTGCCAGAAGACCACAGACAGTAGGAGATCTATTATTTATAAATATAAGTTTAAAATGTGGGAGGAAAGGAAAGCAACATTGCAACCTGCCACGGTAGTAAATAGTCCATCTCGGCTGCTAAAATCATTTGCAAAATTATAGCTTGGAGAAACTGAAATAGCTCCCTTTAGCCTTGCCAGCTATTCAATTTTGGCAGGTTGTCATCTGGTTCCTAATTTCAGACATTGTATAGTATTTTCCTTCATCACGTTTAGAAACAATTTGCTAGAATTACCCTGGATTCAAGCCTCCCAAAAAAACAAAACAAAAAAGTACTATTAAGTCTCATTGCTTTCCATGGGAATAATTTTGCGTGTTTTTATTGACATCAGTGAAAAAAATGATAACAGTTTGTGATTTTTCCCTAGTACTCTATGCAGAAAACAGAGAATGATCATGTTGGATAATGTGGACCATTTTCTGGTTTTAAGATGGGAACCAATGCTATAGTTTTATACTGTAGCTTCTTTTCTATTGGTTCTATTAACAGAACTCTTAGTGAAAAACACCAAGAAATAAAATTTCCTTGAAAATGTTGTTGGAGCTCAACTAACTTCTCCAGCTTTCCTATGAACAAAAAATTAAAGTCTAATTTGGATTCAGTTGAAATTTTGGTGAAGCAACCTTAAGTTGTGTGAATCAATACAGTTATTGATTCCTGCCTAGCTTATGCTAAGCAGACAATACAATTATCACTTAATTATAAAATTGCAGCTTGGGAATTAACACAGTTAGATAGCTAATTCCCTGTAATGAGTTTGCTGAGAGGTAATATCAGAAGTCAGAGATGGAAGGAATTATTTTCTTAATAAAGAGGCCATTCAAGACTATATTTCAACCAATGAGAACATTAAGGTTGACCTTAATTGAACCAGTTCATGATGATGGTAGACCTTTTATTCCCAGCAATTCCAGTTCAAATTCTTTAGTGACCAGCCAATGACTGACCTGCATAAATAAATGTTTAGGTTTTTAAAAATCATTCCCTCTGAGTTTTTGTCTGAATTTTCAGTTTCTTAATTTCAAAGTGCATTCCTGGTTATGTACATATTTAAAAGACAAGAAAGTGATCACCAGGAAATATAAACAATAAAGTTTTAAAAAATAAAACCAAGCTTTCGATGGCCTAAAACTGTCATCATCATCAGGGTATAAACCGGATGATGGGAGAGCTTGCTTATAAATGTAATCCCGTCTGCACATGGCTCCTGGACCTCGTGATAGGTCCTGGCCGACCAATCTTTGCCTCATGAGGTCCAGGAGCCATGTGCAGATGGCAGTTTTAAGCCATCGAAAGCTTGGTTTTATTTATTAAAACTTTATTGTTTATATTTCCTGGTGATCACTTTCTTGATCACTATATATGTAGGTCGTTGGTTATTCGGGTTTTCTCCCACGTAAAATTGGAAGCACGAAGCCGAAAGCACGAAGCACGAAGCCGAAAGCACCAGCCTGAAGATGACGAATGAGACTTCGTCGAAACGTCGCCAAGACACTTCCAATTTTACGTGGGAGAAAACCCGAATAACCAAAGACCTACATACAAACACCCGCAAAAATCTCAGAAAACACACACATATATATACAGTGCTTTTTTTCTTTAAAAAAAAGGTGTCAGAACTCACACATGTCTGGTCCCAATTGCTGTTGTAACTTGAGGACTTTCTGTAATACTAAAGGACAGGAGAGATCCATGCATTCTTTCAAGTAATGGGAGGAAACTGCCCTAAGGACCACTACCTACCCAGCAATCTGTCTAATATTTGTTGTCATGATAACATAATACTTTGCAACTTCACTACATGATTTGCAGAAATTATCACAATGGGGAACTGAGCAGGGACACTGTTTTCAACTCTATTGCTTGGAACAATTGGTTGGGATGTATATTTGCATCTGTTCTGTTTTCCAGGATCTACTTTACTCGCCAGATTCACTTCCTGGGTTTTGTTGTGGAAAGCTGACTATCTCATTAGAGAAGAATTCTCTTCCCCTGTAATTATCCTTGCAATTTTGTTGTAAAGGTCACACTAACATTAGAAGCAGCCAAATGAAGCAAACTGAATCCAGTAATGAGAAGAATTCCACAAACTCTGTAGTAAAAAAGGCCAAGCTCATGGGCAGATGAAAAAGTTACTACAAAATATATTGAACGTTAATCTTTCTGCATCAAAGAAATCCAAAATGAAATGCATGTTTGGGGGAGGGCATTTTCTTTGATGCAATTCTCCACCATTTTGATTTCAACTTTTAGAGGTGAATACTCAAAGTGGAAGTCTTCGCATGAAAAGGTCTATAAGCTAAAGTTACAATGACAAGGGTATTGATATCTTTCAAATCATATGTGATTTTGATATCTTACAGTTCTATGGAGTGGAATCAAGTCCCTCAATCATTCAAGGAAAAATTCTATATGAACAGGGCTGATGGCGAATTCTGGTATTTTTACATTAATTGATAGGCTTTGGGGGATTTCTCTGTATCTCTCTCTCTCTCTCTCTCTCTCTCTCTCTCTCTCTCTCTCTCTCTCTCTCTCTCTCTCTCTCTCTCTCTCTCTCTCTCTCTCTCTTTCTTTCTCTCTGTGTGTCTGTCTCTCTATATCTCCATCTCTCTCTCTGTGTGTGTGTCTGTCTGTCTATCTATCTATCTATCTATCTATCTATCTATCTATCTATCTATCTATCTATCTATCTATCTATCTATCTCCATACACACACACATACATACATACATAGATACTTGCATCCTACAATTTTTTTTTAGGCTTCTAAAAAGTGCAAATGCACACTAGAAATGGAAACTAACATTTGTCTGCAGCCCAAATCACATTCTCTTTTCTCAGGATATCATTTGAAGATTTGAAAGACAATTTTTCATCCCTGTTTGTTTGCAATAACTTACCCACATTCCTGGATTTTGGTAAGGAGAGCAATATGTCTTGGTCTGTGACTTCATATTTCATCCAATTATTTCCAGAAGGGAGCAACTATCGAAGTAAGTAGCCTCAGATAATAAGTTGATATCTTAAACCATTTTCGTAGGAGTATCATTTTAGCAATATTCTAGTTACATGGTAAATCTGGAGATGGGTAACTTTGTGCCCTGTATGTAATAGAAGTGATATCTGTGTACTATCTTTTGAGTTTTTATTCAGATAATCAATTTTGACAACAGTAACTGGGACTGGAAACTCTAATACTAAGCAATGTGATTGTAAAATTTGGCATCCATGACCATGCCAATTTATGATGGTAGTTGTGACAGTTCCAGCTGCAGTATTAATGACTCCCATATGGTCATGGTGTCCCACAGCCATGTGATTGCCATTTGCAATCTCCTGCCAGCTTCCCATTGACTTTGCTTCTTGGAGGCTATAGGAAAATTACAAATAGTGATCATGTGAAAATAGGATGCTGCAATGTTGTGATTGCAAACTGGTTGCTGAATGCCAAAGTCATGATCATGTGATCATGGGGGCACTGCGACTGCTACAACTATGAAGACCCATAGTAAATTATCCCTTGTTCAATGCTGTCATAATTTTAAATAATCACTGAATGAATGGACATTAAATGAAGACTACCTGGATTTAGAACAATATTTAAAACAGACAACAATAGGGCAAATTAGAATTGGCCTGCATTTCTAGACACACTTATTTGGAAAAAAAATGATAGTGACAATAATAATCATTTTGACTTATTATGTGCCTTCAAGTTGCTATTGATTGTTTGCAACCACATCACTGTCAGAGAAATCAACTGTAAAGCAGGGACTTCTTGAATCATACTTCAGTCTTTTGCAATGTATCATATACAAGTTTACGTAGCGGTAAGACCCATTAAGGGTACTAGGACTTACTCTTTAGGCAAATGAGAATTGTAGTCTTAGTTATCTTTACATTATCTCCAAGTGTTTGTCATTTATATTTAGATTTGTTATTTAACTTAGAAATATAGTAATAACATTTCATACAGATATGTTTGTTAAAAATGTTTATATATGTATACAACATGAAACAGTATCTATAGTATTGCTATTCTTTAACAAAGATCAGCTTACACAAGGCTAATGAATGGTCTTTCATTTAATGAAGCTTACAACACATGAATGTATAATCTGTGTGCATCCATCTTGACTTAGGTTTCATTGAAGTTAATGGAGCTAGAGTTCCATCAATTTCTGGAATTTCCAGAAAATTGGGATCGGGAAACTGTTTCCAGTTGATGGAGAAAATATTGAGCTTGATGAATCAGTGATCTGTATCAATACCTGGTAGTTTTCTGTGTCACTATTCTTTGGCAAGGTTACTGAGAGTTGCATGCTTCATTTCAGGAAATTTTAACTGTTCAAAGGGATGTTGTCATTGCAGTATATCAGAATATACCGTAAATGCCGGCGTATAAGGCGACTTCCGCGAGCGCTGAAATCGGCGCCAAAGATGGGGGTCGTCTTATACGCCGAGTTGTCTTATACGCCGGAAATACTGGTAGTTTCCGGCGTATAAGACGATGTTCTAGGAATGCGGCCTGGCTATAAAGATGGGGGTCGTCTTATACGCCGGGTCGCCTTGTACGCCGGCATTTACGGTATTTCCATGATGTTCAATAATCAAAGCTCCCTTCTAACAAGGAAGTGTTATATATATATATATATATATATATATATATATATATATATATATATATATATATATATATATATATAAATGAAAGAAGGTCTTAATCAAGTCTGAGGTGTGTTATCATATCTGTTCATCCACAATAGGTGCTCTTTCAAGAGACCATCAATATTTCATCAAAGTTCCAGAGCTTATGACTAAAGACAATGTTGTAATAGCATTGATGCAAAGACCTGCAAATACCTCACGGATGCTGGTGCCTATAGGTTTCCAGATAAAAAAGGTGAGTAAGAGCAATTAGAAGCGTGAAATACTGCCCCATGACACATTTGGGCCATGAAAGTGACATGATTAACCTGGCTGAATTAGGAGATGTTTTGCCATTTTTGAGGCCTCACCGGTTATTGACTATGCCAGAAAAGGCCTATGTACATACACATTTACACAAAACCCTCTTCTGGCTTCTTGCTTGCTAAAGACTCAAAACAGTGCAACATTAAAGAGAAAGAGAAAAAAAACCCTGCTCTTTTTTCAATGGGGAAAGAGGGGGAGAGAAACTGTAGAGGTGAGAAGAATGATGAAGCAAGAATTCCCATCAATGAGAAGTTACTCCATCTTACTATTTCAGAGACAACATGGCAAAACTGTTTAGATGTTTTGTCTAAGGGAAAATTGGGTAACACAGAGTTTTGGATTCAGTTTATTTTGAGCAGTCAGATCCTAGCAGGATTAGGAGGTAAGGTAAGTAAAGGTGTCAAATATGGATTGGTGCCATGATTACTACAGTAGTTACTCCTTGTTTAGCAACCACAATTGAAATTAGCAACTTGATCACTAAGCAAAGTAGTTGCTAAGTCAAACTGTGATTGTGCTTATGAACTTAACTTTAGCTTTATTTTGTCTTATAGACCTTCAAAGGTCATAAATGGAAGGATTGATCACAAAGGTATTTTTTCATCACTATTGTGATTGCGAATGGATGTTATCCAAGGCAGTCACTTAACGAGGACTACCTCTATAGATCCTGATTTTCTGTCAGTTTGACCTAAATCAAGATACCACTTTTCTCATGAGGTGCCAGGCAAAGAATGATTAAATTTAATTGCAGTAACTTTCCAATAAATATGTCCACTTCAAACATCGCTGAAAAGAAATACTGTTCTGAAACTTTGCCTAGCCCAATCAGTTTCCTGTTTGTCTTCACTTTCCAACTGCGTAGTTTTCATTATTCTTTCCTCTGTTAAGAGGAAAACCTCCCAAAGTGGATGGCAAGGATTGTTGAGAAGGAGAGAGAAACTTTTAGCTATTCCCCATCCTAAAGCAAGTTTTAACAGTCTTCTTCCCAACCCATCAGCAGTCCTACACAATAAAGTAGCCTCTGAAAAGATTTATAATGAAGGAGGCAGTGCTCTATTCTCTAAAAATATTCTCTGCCTTAGTCTTTTAATCTACTTCCACAGACTTTAGGATGCTCCTCTATGTGCTTTATACTTCCTCTTATTTCTGAATGTCTGGTTTTGCAAACCCAGTAAAAACTCAACTACTGTTCATTTTGAGAGCATCAGTTGTTTAAACTCATTTATAGCAACTCCTGTAGAGAGTCAGATCTGAATTAAATCTTTATAGCCTAGCCTGTGAGGCTGGCTGCAAATTTGTAGTTATTTCAGCTTCATATGATTCTCAGAGAGATAAATTGCCCTTTCCATGGAGTTTGAACTGTTCTACATGTGTATGCGAATATTTCTAGGAATAGAAATCTGACTTTAGCAAGGATTAGTGGAGCAGGTGGTACGACTATTACAGAAAGGGCATTTATTTACAAGAAATACATTAGAGAGATAGGCAAAGCACTTAGCTAGCTACAGCTTACTCAGGAGAGGCTAAGAACATGCATGCTCTGTGCATACAGAAATAAATGACTTCAAATTAACAATCTCTTAGATAAACTGCCTGCAGAATGGTAGACAAAGAGGGGCACAGAATAAATCCTGAACTGCTTAATCCTTAACATATCTGAGAAGCCATCTTGGCCAGTGGTGGGATTCAAATATGTGAACAACCAGTTCTCTGTGTGGATGCCGCTTCCAGAAGTCCATTCTGGGCCTGGGCAACAAAAAATTAGCTACCGGTTCTGCCGAAGTGGTGCGAACTGGCTGAATCCCACCACTGATCTTGGCCCAATAGGATTGGCCCATCTCATTCTTTCTAGCAGAAGGGGCTTGCTACAGACCCTGTCTGTCAAGGAAGTTTGACTTGGGGGGGGGGTCTAGGAGAAGAGTCTTTTCTGCTGTGGTCCCCACCCTTTTGAACATCCTATGGCCAGGATGTGAGCTCTGCCCCCACCCTTTTGATCTTCCAGAAGAGCTTTAAAATTTGAAGATCCCACTTCTATAGCATTGGTCCTCTTGGTTCTTAATCTCTATTGAATTCATAGAAATTCTAATTGGTTTATTTTATCGTTTTGTAAGAGCCAGAGCCACTTCAACAATGAGATTGGTGGCATATAAATTTAAAAACCCTCTATCTACTGTTCAATGTACATAACCTCCTTGTAGTTCTGAAAGTCAGGGTACATAATTTGAACCTCCAAGGCTTCTTCAAACATACAAAACTCAAATCCTAAATATAAGACTCTAAAACTTGTCACTCATAAAAGAGAAAAAAGCCTAAATCTTTACTGAAGGGAGGGTTTATATAATGGTAACTAAGTTCTTTTAGTTTTTCTTCTAAATAGATCAAACAACAAAACATTTTAATCAGCAGTTAGCAATGGATTATTGATATCCATTCATTTGGATAGAGTTTCATTGTGTTTGCAAATACAGTGTTTCATTACTGCTTAACTAAATGATTAATTTCTTTATATATTTGATAAGGATTTATTTTAATTTAGCAAACACTATTTTTTTCTTCACATTTGAATTATAAATTGATATGAAAGTGTTTTTTAAAATAAGCTACTTAAATCATACAGATATTTTTAAATAACTGCTATAAAACTAATAGAGAGAGAATTCATTTAAAACCAGTTAGATTTTGAGGAAACGAAGGACACCCTTAATAAAGAAATTAACCAACAAAAGAACCAGTGGAAATGAAATTTGCATATGAAATGAAGTAAGGGAAATATTAATATTTCATGTTGTTCTGTGTGCTTATACCGTACCTTAAAATATAACAATGTGATTCTAGATACAAAGAAAATTTGCAAGAAAGAGAAAAATCCTGCAGAGAATAAGAAATGTGTTCTGATCCAAAAAGCTGTAAATAGCATTAAATTATTAATTGGACAATAAATATAGTTAATTTAGCCATTAAGCACAATTTTAAAATGTGTGATTTTAATTAGATTTTTACTGGACTATCTTTTAAAAGCATCTTCACTACTGATAGCATTCTTATAATACACCACATCTGAGGTTTACAGACCAATTCAGGGTTTTTTTTGCCCAAACTATTGTAACCAGCCTATACTAAATTACAGTTTTTATTAGTTGGAAAATTACTACAATAAAATATCAGGAAAGCTATGTATTTGAAATCCCTGTGACAGAAGAGAATTATTATAAACAATAGCTTATGTGTATAGAGCCAGTACATATACAAACAAGGTTTGTCAATGTGGGGGGAAAAAATCTCACAAAAATTGAGTCCCTCATCATATATAAAGAATTTTCACGTAGGCATATTTGAGATGTAGTGCATACCTGGAACTATTTTAGATTATCATCTGCATTAGAGGAAGAGCATTACAATTTCATATTGAGAAATCTTCCAGGAGGAGGAACCTCCAAGGAAGTAAAAATGAACATAGTCAAAATCAATGTTTGCAGGAACAGAATAACATTTGACCAGGATGGTGTAAGGCTCCTGCCTTGAGCAGTGGGATGGACTAGAAGATCTCTAAGGCCCCTCCAAGCCTTGGGATTCTATGAATAATCTCATACTGTGTTGTTCTTTGAGCTTCACATACTTCTTATGCTCTTTCATCAACCCATTTGTAATCCTCAACTTCTTCAAGATTTCAGAGACAAAATATAATAGAAAATCACTTTTATGACACATTGAAATTCTGCATTTAAAGAGCCACCTAACATCCAAGTGCCTCAGGCAATTGTATTTTTTTTTAGCAAAAGCCAAAAATCACCACAATGATCTTCCAGTCACTGGAAAAGATGCACTTCCCAGAAAAATAATATTGGCCTCTTCCAATATCTGCTGCACTTTGCATGTTTGTCTGGTTGGACTATACTGTTTCATGCAGTGAGCTGCATGCTTCATTGCTACCATCAGCCTTGTTACCTCATCCATGTTCATACTACATACATGAAGTCTGAATAGATTGCCATATAATGACAAGCCATGTCAATGCAGATGGGATCATAAGTTATGAAACCAGCATTAACCTGCATTATCTATGAACTCCAGTCTTTCTTCTTATTCTGTACAATGTTGTCACCATTCTTTTGAGCTAAGAAATGTCTTTTTTTTTTTTGCAACATTATACAATTGAAATCAATATCTGCCTAGAACTTTTAATAGTATGCTTCTGCCTTGACCACACTAATAATTTCCACAGACAGGAAACATCATTCATATAAGAACACAAATTGGATCATTGACATTCATTATGTGTGCATCTTCCTAACTAGTAGAAATTTTTTTGGATCAGAAAATTATGACTATTAGCACTTAAGTAGGGTGGGAGAGGCAGTATACTACAATGAAAATGAAAGGAAATGATTATCTCAAATTCTATGCTTAATGCACTTTTCTTCTTTTCTTCTATTTTATGATGAGCTACAGGTAGGTCCTCTTTACTTTTCTCTGAATTCTCTCTCTCTCTCTCTCTCTCTCTCTCTCTCTGTGTGTGTGTGTTGCACATGCAAGTCTTTGATTCAAGTTGACTGCTGCTTGGACAGGTCCCTGCAGTTTTCTTGGCAAGGTGGTTTGCCATTGCCTTCTTTCTTGGACTTAACTACTACACCAAAGTGGCTCTCTGAAATATCAGTAATTAGGTACAAATTGTTCATCAGTTCAGTAACTATTCCTCATAGAAAAGAGGGTTTCTCAGACTGAGTGATGGCTGTGCTGTGATGAACTAAACCATGATTATATCTTTTTATGTTGCTTTCTATACTTAATTATGTTACAGCTGTTTACAAAATACTTCATACACAACAAATAAATTAAAAACAGCATAAAATGTATACATTATAAAGGCAGCAGGGGGTGGGGGGGAAAGAGGAAAATGTAAATGAAAGAAAAACCATTTATCCAATATTTATATACAGAAAATCTGGAGTTTCTTTTTCCATTGTTAGAATAGCTTGCTTGCATCAAGACAGTTTCAAGGATAAGATGCTCAGTTAAAAAATATCCAAATACCATAAAATCTTCTCTATATCTTGAACAAAAGAAATGATTGTACATAAAAAATTCCATTTGCTTGAAAAGAGTTGTCCCTATTTAGGTTTATTGAAGTTTTAATTCATCACATTCTAAGTTCAACACTTCCTTTGCCCCCCTCCCACTTTGAAAATGTTTTTCCTTTCATTTTTGCAAAATAGCAGTGTGTGTGCGTGTCCTTCCCACCCCAAAAAGGCATTGCTCATAAATTATTGTGCCCACTCCGACTAACCATTCTAAATGGGATTTACAGTATACACTCCAGTGTTTTCGTAAGAATTTTTTTTAGTTGGGGTTTTTATCATGTTGTCTTTATATGTCATCACAGTAATAGTGGTTGCATTTTATTTATTGTGCCATTTTGTGGAAAATATTGGAGCCACAAGAAATATACCAGGGTCTATTATTTTCTTATAGAAGTGGGCTTGATACAAGGTTCAGAATGCTCATGACAAGCCTAAATATGCAGATAAAATCTCCTCTCTCTAAATATTTCCCACTCCTTTTGTTGGTTCTGCTATATCTTCCATATATTACAGATAATACAGTCTCAGGCATAGATATTTGGAGATTAGCCCATTTATAACAAATGAATCTCACTTTCAAATAAGGGCATGCACGGGCCTGTGATTTTGCTATGGATATCCATGAAACCTTGACCATTCAACCAACTCTAGCATACTTACCATCGGTTGATGAATAAGTATGTAAGTGTGTGTGTCTATGTGAATGTGTGTGTCTGTGTGTGTAGCAAAAAAAGCTGCAAGTTAAAATAACTTCAAAGTAACTAATAATTTCTTTTCATAATATTTTGTCTAAGGGTAGAACCATAGTTCATGACACGCAGCTTAAGGTAACACGAGATATCACTGTTTCCTATCAATTGAAGCCTGGCGATTACACAATTATTCCAACTACATCACCACAAAGCCAAGAATCAAAGTTTCTTCTACGAATCTTTTTAAAAAGTCAAGGCAATATAAGGTAAAGTAATTACAATTAGAACATGTATTGTATCAAAGAAAATCCACCATTTTCCTTATCCTTTTTTTTTATCAAACTAAAATTGAGGGGGGAGGGTGACCAATCTTCAAAATCTCTAGAACCCAAAACCAATCATAAATCCCAAGAAAACAAATCAAACAATGAGGTGGGCAGAGATGAGAAAAAAGAAAAACTCAAACAATATTCAGGAGATGCAGGAAATATACCCAAGGACAGGCATAAAAGCCTTAAATGCTTATATACAAATGCTCAAAGCTTGGGGAACAAACAGGGTGAACTAGAAGCAATAGTACACAAGGGAGGGTATAACATAGTTGGTATTACAGAAGCCTGGTGGAATGGACTGATGTATGGATACAAATTGTTCGAAAGAAACAGGTCTACAAAAAGAGGAGGGGGAGTAGCACTATATGTAAGAGAACACTACATATCTACAGAAATGCACATGATCAAAGACAAAATCTCCCCAGAATGCATATGGGTTAATATAAAAAAGAAAAAAAGTGACATTACTATAGGTATATATTACAGACCATCCAACCAATCAGAAGAAATAGATGAACTCTTTGCCAACCAGTTAACAAATGTATGTAGGAAGCATACCACAATAGTAATGGGAGACTTCAACTATCCAGATATCAACTGGGAGACAAACTCTGCAGTGAGCGGTAGATCAAACAGATTCCTAACCAACCTAGCCGACAACTTTGTCATCCAAAAGGTGGAGGAGGGAACTAGACGTAAAGCCATACTGGACTTAATTCTTACTAATAGAGAAGAAGTGATAGAGAGAGTTGAAGTTACCATAACCTTGGGCGAAAGTGACCACATCATACTGGAATTTAATATAACGCAAATACTAGCAACAGAAAACAATCCAACCAGGGTCTTAAATTTCAAAAGAGCTGACTTTATTTTATTTTTATTTTTTAAAAAAGTTTTTATTAATTTTTTCATACAGTTTAGTAGTACTTGTTCAACAAGTGTGTTGTCTGAGTTTATCATTCACTAATACAAATTTAATTCCTAATCTTTTATTCTTTTCTCCAGCCATTGATAAAATAAGTCCCAAGTTTGATAGTATTCTGTTTCTTCTTTTTCTTTCAATCTCAAAGTAAGTCTGTCCATTTCCGCACATTCTAGTATTTTTTTAATTATTTCTTCCTCTGGTGGTATTTCTTCATTTTTCCAATGTTGTGCGAATATGATTCTTGCTGCTGTTATCACATGTAAAATCAAATATATACTTTGTTTATCAATCTTTTCTGGCATTATACCTAATACAAAAAAAAACTATGGCAAAAGACAAACTAGAAACAAAATTTAAAACAAGCAAGAAAATGATAAGAGAACACCTATCCGACCTTGACAAATATAAATCACCGGGACCCGACAGATTACAACCAGAGTTCTGAAGGAGCTGGCAGATGTTATCTCAGAACCATTGTATCATATCTTTCAAAAATCCTGGAGCACCAGGGAAATATCTGATGATTAGAAAATGGCTGATGTTGTTCCCATCTTCAAGAAAGGGAAAAAAACAGACCCAGGAAACTACAGACCAATCAGTTTAACATCAATACCTGGGAAGATCCTAGAAAAGATCATCAAAAAACAGATATGCGAACAACTAGAAACAAAGAAAGTCATAACCAGTAGCCAGTATGGGTTTGTTAAAAACAAATCATGCCAAACCAATATTATTTCATTCTTCAAAAAAGTGACTAAATTAGTAGACCAGCGAAATGCTGTGGACATAGTATACTTAGATTTCAGTAAGGCATTTGATAAAGTAGACCGCAACCTACTCCTTGGTAAACTAGAAAAAGGTGATTAGACAACATCACCACCAGATGGATCTGTAGCTGGCTGGCAAACTGTACTCAACGAATAGTCCTCAATGGCACTATATCCACATGGAGAGAGGTAAGCAGTGGGGTACCACAAGGTTCCATCTTAGGCCCAGTAGTTTTCAATATCTTCATAAATGACTTAGATAAGGGAATTGAAGGGGAACTCATCAAATTTGCAGATGACACAAATTGGCAGGAGTAGCCAACACCCCAGAAGGCAAACTCAGGATCCAAAAAGATCTTGACAAACTTGAACAATGGACCCTACGCTAAAAAATGTGGAGAAAGGCAAAGTTTTACATTTAAGCAGGAAAAATCAAAGGCACAAGTACAGACTGGGCGAGACCTCACTAAAAAATAATAATCTTGGAATCCTAGTGGATGATCACTTGACCATGAGCCAGCAGTGTGCAGCAGCAGCCAAAAAAGTTAATACAATCCTGGATTGTATAAACAGAGGCATAGAATCAAGATCACGCAAAGTATTAGTACCACTTAATAAAACTTTAGTAAGACCACACCTGAAATATTGCAGCCAATTTTGGTCACCATATTACAAAATAAGATGTTGAGAGTTTGGAAAAAAATTCAGAGAAGAACAACTAAGATGATCAAAGGCTTAGAGACTAAAACATACAAAGAACAGCTGCAGGACTTGGGTATGGCTAATCTAAAAAAAAAGAAGAAATAGGGGAGACATGAGATCAGTATTCCAGTATTTGAGGGGCTACCACAAAGAAGAGGGAGTCATGTTACTCACCAAAGCATCAGAGGGCAGGACAAGAAACAATGGTTGGAAACTGAACAAAGAGAGAAGCAACCTAAAATTAAGGAGAAACTTCCTGACAGTGAGGACAATTAACCAGTGGAACAGCTTGCCTCCAGAAATCGTGGGCTCTCTATCACTGGAGATTTTTAAAAAGAGGCTAGACAGTCACTTGTCTGAGATGGTATAGGTTCTCCTGCTTCAGTGGGGGACTGGACTAGAAGACCTTCAAGGTCCCTTCCAGCTCTATTGTATTCTATTTAAAGAAGCTCGCTCCTCTTAAGGGCAAGCATGCATTTGTCTAGCTGCTTATGACAAATTAAATCTGTCTAAAAAGAAGTTGATAAATGTTTGATGAGATTATTTTAACTAATCATTAGTTGACAATGATATTTTGTTCTTAGGTTTGATGGCTAATATTTGACAATACTTAATCCTTGTCATGGAGTGGTGTTTTACATTTGATAATATCTGATGATCAATATGGAGTAACACAGAGAAATTGACTATGTTTGGAAGTTTGTATGTAATAATATGTAGCATTTAGCTGAAGAAGTTAATTTTTTATTGTTGATGAAATTAAATCATTTGAGAAGCTCCATTAGGAAAACCAAATATAAATCTCCACATTATGTGATATTTCAGTCTAATATAATTGTGTTATTGATTATCAAGATATTTTGACCTAAGGCAAAGCTATATTATCCTAGATCCCTTCACATTCATTTAACTGTGTACAGAGCTGTTGCTAGAGTGTAATAAATAAAATTCCATTGTCTTGATTTATCAGACAATAAAATATAATTTACATTCTGGATTTTCTTTTCAGAAAGTCATACCACTTATGTGGACCTTGGTCCCCCTTGGGACAAAAGAATACTCTTGTCAAAAAGAATTTGTGGAAACATCCATAATTTAGTTCTTGGGCACAGATAATGATTTGTGCACTGTTGCTTGATAAACACACATCAAGGTTGAATATGATAACACACTGTCCTCTCTGGATCTTGTAAGCAATAAATAAAAATAATCTACTCTGATGAAGTTCTCATTTTTATGTGTGTGATTTTTTTTTCCCTTTTAGGGAGCCAAACAATGAAATCAGTTCACAGGGGACAAAGGTATGTTGATATAATGAACTAATGATCTGAGGATATACACTGTGTGCAATCTCCAAACTTCTCAATATTGAAGTGCTTTTTTGAGGTAGCAAATACATAAAACCCATATTTGAGGGACAATTTAATCTCTTAGCTAAATTTAAGTTAGATCATAAAGAAATAACAAATCCTAAATTCCAGTCAAAATTGCAGAGGAAAGGAAACTAAAAAATCATTGGCCCTTGGACATTAAAATGTTGCCCTAGCCCAATAGAAATAGTTGTACAGCCTTTGTAGACTAATTGATCTTTAAGGTCTGGAGATAATTATCTTCCTTTGGGGCCATCTCCTAGAGATGAAGAATTTTTACTTTAAATGAAAGACATCTATTATTGATGTTATATGATTCAGACAGAATTGAAAAGCAGCTGTGGGTCTGAACCCTCTTGGAAGCCACAGAAGTCACCCTGTATTTAGAGAAACAAGCTTAGCATTAGTTTTTATACTATGGCAGTGCTAAAGTCAGGATTTTATTTATTAACCATTGAAGCAACAGATTTTCATGCTGAAGACTTTGGGAGTATGGCACCTAAAGAATTTCTGCCTTCCTTAGGCCTCCATGGATATCTCTGTTTTCATCTAAGTGCCATTGCTACCTGAAGAAAAGTTGGTTGTCACTAGTGAAAGAGTCTTTGAAGTGATGGCATCCCAATTACAGTAACGTTCTTTCATAGAGACTCACCTAGTACCTATTTTGATGTTATCTCCAGACCACCTGAAGACCTTTACTTAATCTTTTCTGGAATGGTAAAGCCTTATTCCAAGGTGAATAAAGCTTTAGCAATAAGTGTATGTATTATAATTAGATATTGTAATTATATCATGTTTTAAATTATTATTATTTATCAGAGGGAATTAAGCAAAGATGAGGCAGTATATTTTCCCATCATCAGTAAAATGAAATACAATGTTGACAGTTTGCCTCTTTGGCAGTATTGAAAAACAGGACTATCCTTTCTTCTGTTTGAAATCTCATCTTCTTATTCTCTTGAGATGAATAGGCCAGATTATTTGTTTTGCATTTAATTCCACCACTGTAACACTCAAGGAGATGGACTACTTCACTATTTTATTCTTTTAAATCTTAGCTTATTCTGAAAAATAGATTGCCTAATTGTCCTTGTGACACCATGCTATTTAACACTAAAGTCAAAAAGCTGCTCCAAATTTATACCAAGTAAAGTGCAACCATTTTATCAACAGTGGAAGTATTGCAACCCTCTCAGAGAGATAGGTTAAATAACTTAAGACCAATCTAGAGGACATCCGAACCATGGTTTTATAGCTTTTAAAATTACTTAGTGTTCATGCTGGAAAGGAAGCAAATGCTCTTCCCTAAGGTAGATACTTCTGAAAATCTCATTGATGCCAAAGGGAGGGGGAACCATCCCCCCTCCATACATACATACATATATATATATATATATATATATATATATATATATATATATATATATATATATATATATATATATATATATCAAGTTACTAAAATGAGATCAGACCAATATTTGCAGCAAAAAGTATAGCCTTTTGGGGAGGGGTATTATATGCGTGAACACAATGGTGGACAGGTTTGAAATGTTTTTAAAGTGCATATTTTTTTCAAAATCTTATTATCCACAGTCATGGATAATGAGATTGAAATGGGTGTCCCATGAATAATGACAGCTATCTGCATCTCTTCAATATTTATTGGTTTCTTTGTTTTTATTCAATCTGGATACTCCCCCTGGCTGAGTGGGTCACAAATAGTAATATAAAAAAAACAATAGTAACTCAGAAAAGGTAGCATCTGGACCCAAAATGCAAACAGAAAACAAAAATAAAAACACAGCCAAGGAGCTTATCCATCACTCCACAATTTGGAAAAACAACGAAATCTTCAAGGGTTTCTATAAGGGCATCCAATCTTGGCCACTTTAAAGCATGACTGGCTGTGGAATTCTGGGAGTTAAAGTCCACAAGTCTTAAGGTGGTCAAAGTTGGATACTCCTGTTTACAGAATGAACACATCTCATTCCAAGGTGGGTTTAAACATGGTTTGGTTTAACCATAGTTTGCTGAAGAATCCACAGCTGTATAAGTCAACAACCTTTGATGTGGATGACACAAGCCTTCTTTTAATCTAGGGGGTCTTATGAATTCAGTAATTTGCTTTGAAACAATTATGCACTAGCAATGTGCAGAGTCTCTCCACTGTTGCTGGGGCAATAAATCAGTAGTTCAGAGAAGTTAGATATAGCCACAGTGATGGCTAGTAGTCCTACACATTAGTAGTTCAGAAATGCTTGAAGTACAATAATTGCCAAAAGGTTATTGTTTAAAGCAGCTTTCACTATATAGCACTCTCCATGTGTGCTGTCTGCATCTCTCTCATCACTAACCAGCATGGGCAAAGGGAGTTGTAGTCTAAACCGAACTAGAGGGCACCAAATTGCAGAAACCTGTCTTCAGCTTATTTGAATCCATACAGTACCACTGAGAGTGTGCCAGTTTCCTTTTTTTTTTTTCTTCAGATGATGGTGACCTCTTTAGTGTTTAACCAGCATTAAAGAGCTCATACATTGCATATCTCAAAGACAGGGTTATACTCAAGAAGATCCCAGCTTTATGGACACTCTTTTGTCTCATTCCTCTTCTTTCTTGCTCTCTAAGTCTGACACTTTTTCCCCACAAATCACTGCCAGCTGCCCTCATCCCTGAGACTTTGTTGAAAACTTGTTCTTTCTCAAAGCTTTCATAAAATAACATCGTGTTGTTTTATGAATAATGTATCATGCAGGCTTTTTTCTAAATGATACACTCACAAATGACCTGGGGCAATTTGAAGTTTGGACATGGGGTGCCACTGGATGGAATTTAATTAGATAAATAAGAAAGACATGAAGGATCGGATAATAGGGCTGTTTTTGTCACTGTCAGGCTTCTGAGGTTGGCTGTGCAATGTTGCCTGTGGTAAATGGCTAGAAACATAATGAGTGAATAATAATGAGGTGTCTCATGTGGACTGATATTTTGCAGCTGATTTTTATACATGCATATATATTTTTTTTGGATGCAGGATAAGCTCATCTGGAATCCAGACGACTATGAAAGTATCTTCTTAAGATACGCTTATCAGGTTTGTTGAGTGGAAATAAAAGTGAGAATTAATAAGGTTTGTAGAATTAAGGAAGGGAACTTTCCCATCTTGCTTTTAAACCGTGCACATCTCAAGGGTATCTCTCAAAATGCTATTGATTTGCTAGTTGTTATGACAAATCAGACAAGAGACCTGGCTAGAACACAATAGATGGTTTGGAGTTTATTGTTTGTGGGCAGAAAAATGTTCCTCAAACAAGCAATTAACCGTAACCCTTGGCTACAGATAGATGTGGCTTCCTAGATCATATTTTAGTCTAACAGAATTACTTCCAGTTTGTACTTTCCACATTTGGAAAGCAGGCATCAGTCAATGTTTGGGTAATTGATTTGCATTCTTTCTGAGCCAAGCTGCATGGGTTCATAGGAGATGCTCTTAATGGCTTAATAAACTGTTATAAAGGACTCCTTGACTTAGTCGAGAGAAAAATTGCTGCCAAAAGCCTCTGTACAACAGACTTCTCACAGCTAATAGTTGTATCAGCACATAAAAGTTGAAAACAGCAATGCTGACTGTGAAAGGTGCATACCATTTGTCTTCAGGAGCAGCCAGGGCAAGGAAGGAAAATCATAGGAGTCTCCTGAGCCAATCAAGTCCTTGCTGCAAGCCAGATATTTGCATCTTCTATGCCAGTGGTTCTCAACCTTTTTAATGCCGCGACCCCCAACCGGTCGTAAGTCGAGGACTACTCAACCGGTCGTAAGTTGAGGACTACTCAACTGGTGCAGCACCGTTTGCAGAATGGGACTTTTGGCAGGCTCAGCAGGGCAGAGACAGCCTGGACAATTCCTATTGGCTTTTGAAAGCCAATAGAATTAGACTCTATTCAAGAGAGTCTATTCTATTGGCTTTCAAAAGCCAATAGAATAAAAGGGAGTAGCACAGCTAAGGAAAAGGGGGAAAAAATGGCGGGCTGCGTTGTTTGGCGACCCCCGTGAAATGGTCGTTCGACCCCAAATGGGGTCCCGACCCACAGGTTGAGAACCACTGTTCTATGCATCTTCTAGAGCTCCTATTAAAACTCTTTAGCATGCCGAAACAAATCATCCTCCTTTTTTTTTTTTTCTAATAATCTCTCAGGAGCTATAGTTGAGACCTAAGTGTAAAAAATAGAAGACTAGAAATGACTTTGGCTAGAGATAATATAAAAATACAGTAGCCATCATATGAATGAAGAAGAGGGTTTTCAACTCCTCCCCCCACCCCCATTCCTCAGGGAAACCTGTAGGATAAGGGAGAGATCTAGTCTTGTCCTCACCCACTTAGCCTCTCCCTTGGCTTTTGAATTTTCCTATTCTGTCCTGTCCTTAAGGAAGAAAAAGAGACTAGATGGGCTATTCAGGCTGGCTGGAGGTTTCCTGCTCCAGTCCTAAGAAATTTCTAGACCAGGCTCTAGAAATTCCTCTGCTTTAGTTTTCTATTTTGCTTTCCATTCCTGCTGAGCTTGTAAATTGAACATAATCTTTTGTTGTTGTTTGTAATTATTATTTCTAAACATCTGCAATTCTTTGAATTCCCACAAGCCACTGGTACTTTTACCTTGACTTTGGCTTAATTGAGAAGACGGTGGTCACCAGCTAAGTCACTGAGGAGTGCCTGTCCATAGTGACCAGGAACACTCATCTGTTTTTCTCTGCCTGCTTCAGTTTTATTTGTTTTATTTTATTATCTTCTTTATGTGGAAATAGGAAGTTCATTCAAGCAGTCAGCATATAAGTTGCTGCTTTTCCTCTGTTTGGTAATTTTTAAGGCAACGGAATATTGTGAGAAATCTACTTCTTGAATATTTGTTACTAAAATTAGCTGATTATTTGCCTACAGAATATGATAAAGAAAACATCTCTGTCTCTCTGTATGCATATTTGTATTTCCCAATAATAAATGAATCAAGGGAATTTGGAGAAGAAACAATATCTTCAAATTAGCCCATTTAAAAAATGATAAAATCTAAATTTTGTATCTTCCTCTGACATCTGTCAAGTGCAATTCTTTCTTGCATTTTTAAAATGTGCAATCTGGAACAGTGCAAAAATAAACAACCAAACTACAAATGAAGCCTAGGAAGAGGGATGGGATAGAATGAATGGTAAAAGAAAATGAGCTAGTGGGCAAGGCTGCAAATTATCCCAAATAAATAAAAATTATTTCCATAGATGTAATATTAAGAACTACTGTGTGAAATAAGACAAAAGGATTCCTATGCTTCAAGTGCTGAGATTGAATCTGGGGTGTTGTTCTGCCTAGAATGGACAGTGGCTTTTCCCCTATTCCTTCAATTAAGTGGATGTAGTAACAAAACAAGTTTCCAAGGAACCATAGCATTCATAAGCATTTTTTGTGTGTGTGTATGTTTGTTCTACATTAGAACTCCTACTTAGATGCCTCACAGTTGCAAAGGATTCTTAATGGCATTCTCCTAAAAGGTAAACTTCATACTTTATGTCCAGTTTTAACTGTTATTTATACCCACTTCTGTCCCCTTACTTTTCCTCTGCCTTTGGTCCTATTCAGTTGCTATTTCTTCAATAAGAGGCATAATTGGTACATTGGGCAATATTAATTCTGTTTACTCACTACTGTGGGGACAAAAACCTCAAGCTGTCAGTTAAGATACAATAGCTGAGCTCCTGTTAAACACTTGCTGTGTCTCAGTGGGATTGGGGCCCCAGCTTACTTAGCAGAAGGAATTACTGATCATTAAAAGTCAAAATCATCAAAAGTCAGAATAATAGAGTTGGAAGGGATCTTGGAGATCTTCTAGTCCAACCACCAAAAGACCCTATACCATTTCAGACAAGTGACTGTCCAGTCTTTTCTTGAAACATTGCTATCATGTCACCACTAGCCCTTCTTTTCACTAGATTAGACAAATTCAATTCCTGCAACCTTTCTTCCTATACTTTAGCCGCCAGCCCCCTAATCATCTCTGTTGCTCTTTTCTTCACTCTTTCCAGACTCTCTACATCTCTACTCTCCACATAATATGGTCACTAAATCTGGATGCAATATTCCAAATGTGGTCATATTAAGGCTTTATTTATTAGCACTAAAACTTTCAAGCTTCCCATATTCCTCCCATCAATCCTTTCCAGCTTCCCTTACTTCCAGTATATGATACAGGTAAAAAGAAACAAAAAATCTTCTTTGGAGGCCTAACTATAATATCCCTTCTTTTGGCTATATATATTGTATGTATCGTTTGTAACTGATTCATCTGAATGAGGTGCTTTGCCAATAAGGCATCAAAGCAGAGCTGATCTGTTGCTTGACTTTGATGAAAGTGGCTTCTTTGAATATTCAGAAAGCACTTTTAAAAAGCGAATCAAGTTTCAGCAACTGTTCTGCAAGTAAGAACTGGGGCCCTTTGAAGAAGTCCTCCATTTGAACCTTCACCACAAGACAATGCCTCTTGAAAGGTCTGCACCGCCCTAAATGGAAATGAAGATATTTCTGCAATGACATAGAACTTTGGAAGTCCCTGGACTTCTGGATGATCTGAAAGATTTATTTGCTCTGATCTAATTTTAATTGGCCCCAATACTGTCTAGCAATCATAATGCACTGGTTCATCCAGGATTTTGCTGGTTAACACTTATTCCAGGTCCAGAGACCCTTGCAAAGAAATTTTGCTATAACACTTATACATTTATATGTTTACTTTTAATCCTTTTTATTGTCTTGCTTGTTTTATGTTTTACTGAAATGTGTGTTATTCTTTTTTCTGTGCATAGCTTGGAGATCCTGTTGAAAGAATAGAATAACAATAATAACAATAAGACGAATTTAGTATTCTGCATTTTAACTCAAGGGGTTACCAGATGCTATTTCCAATTTCTTCTATCTCACTAATTAAGATTTACACAGTAAATATTGACTTTAATTTGCTTGTGAATTTTACATTATTGAGTCATAATTTTTAACCCTGAAAAAATGGGCTAGAAATGTATTCAATATTATACAAATATGCCCACAACATTACTATAAAAATGGTGTTTCAGGCTGTCATAGGAATGGACAGACAGACAGACAGGCTTATATTACCCAGAGAGTTCTCATACATAAGTTTTTTTCTTTTTTGTCTGGTTAGTTCTTTTCCCTTCTGTTCCCTTTTTTGTTTCTCCCCTCCCCCTCCATTTTTATATCTCTTTCCACTATAGTTACCTTTCTCTTTTGCTCTGGCTCCATCCTGCTCCCCCCCCCCCATTAACTTCTTGCTATTCCTGCTGGAAGGAAGGAAGGGAATCTTTCTAGAGCTACTTGAAGGTTTCTGTATTTGTGCATGAAACAAACCATGGTTATCATATGTGAGGATATGATAACCATGGTTTGAATTTATTCTATAGACAAATACATTCAATAAATAGTGTAGTTATTAATCCAAGTATAAGTAGTCCTTGACTTTCAACCATTTGCTTAGAAGTACAACAGCACTAAAATAATTGACTCACAACTAGTCTTTGCACTTACGACCATTACAGCATTTCCAGGGTCATGTAATCAAAATTCAGGCAATTGCGAACTGATATGTATTTGTTACATTTTTCAAATCATACTCTTTGTCAATCTCTCTGTGATACACGAGGCATGACCCAGCTCTTTCCCAGATACTCATGTATTTCACAAAATATTGTGAGCAATAATCACGCTAGACTCCAATTTTCCTGATTTCAAGGTAAGCCATTTCTGTGTGGTGTGACTTCTAACCCCCATTCTTGATGTATGTTGCTTTTTTTATTTCTCTGCTTATAGATCTAATGGCTAGCCTGGGATCTGGAGACGGATTCAGCTTTGATTCATGCAAAAGCCTTTTAGCTCTGATGGATGTATCTTTTCAACAAATGCAATAAACCTTCCTCATGCTCCCCTTTCCTTGCTTTGAGTTATAGCTGTGCTGAGTTTCCCATTGCACAAGCCCTGAGAATGACTACTTACTGCCAAGTATTTATGAAGAAATTCTATGAATTGCTGTAATCTTCATCTTTCGGCTTTTCTCTCTGCCACAGATTTTTACATGGAAGGAGTAGAAGTTCACAATAATCATATTAATCCTCCCTTAACGTCACTTTTTTCAGTTTCAGAAAATCCCAATCCCCCCCCAAAAACTAAAACAAACAAACAAAAAAATGGTTGTATTTGTACTAATGCATTATTGGGGAAAAATCTTAGTATTTAATCTTCCATCCTATATAAAAGCTTTCATTAAGGAACCAAGCACAGATGGATTGGTTGTATATTAATAAAAACATCAGACTAAACGGGGATCCCAATTAATAACATTTTGACATTTAATCAATCCAATTGTCCTTACAACATTTCTGTGATTCTTTATCATAGAAAGGCCATATAGGCCACCCAGTCCAACTTCCTGCTCCACAAAAGAATCCAACTTAAAGTTTCTGTGGCCTCTGCTTGAACATGCGGTCAAGGGAAGGTTCTCTCACCATTTCTTAAAAAATATTTTTATTTGAGATATTCCTAATTTTCAACTTGAAACTGATTTCCTCTGCCACATATTCTTGTTTTGTCCTGGGATGGTATAAAATAGGCTTTGGGAGTCTTCTGTGTTATCCAGTTATTCCAGGTCTGTCTGTCTGTCTGTTTAGCAAATTTCAATCCTGCCTCAATCTAACGTCTTCCTTCTTCTCTTCATAGGACTCAGTTTGTAATTTTGTGATAATTGTTCCAATTTATCTGAATGCTTCTTAATGTTTAGTGATTAGTGAACTAGTTAGGATTCAATGTACAAAAGAGAGTACCAATAGAAGAATGCAGAAAATCACAGAAAAAAACCATACTTCTGTGGCTGTACCTTAAACCTCCATTTAATCGACTTTGGAGCTACCCTATTCCAGTGCCTGATACATGGTTTGTAGCCAACTACATTTTCTGTCACTTTTTTCACAAGTACTATCAGTAAACCAGATATCCTCCATTCTATACCTGTATGTTTGATTTCTTTTTCCCAAGTGAAGAACACGTTTCTGTTAACTTTTATTCTGTTATTTTCAGCCTGAACTGCTAATTTAGAAAGTCTGTTTTGAAATAGGTTTCCATTTTCTAACGTATTAGCTATCTCATCCAAACGTGTGTTGTCTACAAAGGTGAGAAACATTCACTTTAGTTCTTAATCAAAGTAATGTTGGAGAATACAGGAACCTATATTGACCCTTGTGGTATTTCATGTGATACCTCATTAATAAGAAACCATTGATGAGCACTTCCTATTTGAACTAATTTTGCATCTACCCAATTACCATCAAGCCAGATATTACTGGCTTGCTAATCAGAATGACTTGAAGTACTTTGTTATGCCTTTCTGAAGTAAAGAGATGGTAGATTTATAGCATTCCTACAATGAAAGTGCCAGATTTTTTTAAAAAAATAGATAAGCTTAGTTTGCAAGATTGTTTCTTACAAATCCAAACTAGATTGTTTTCAAGATACTTATAAAGAAATCTCATTACTAAGAATCTTAAAAAGAATCTGATTAGTACTATTACCAGTTCCCTGGGCCCGCATTTCTCTCTTTTCTGAATAAATGAGCATCATTTCCCTTCTTCCATTGACCTGGAATTTTATCAATGCCATGATCTCCAAAAGATAGGAAAATAATAACAATAATCATTCCTTTCATCCATGCAGTGATATTGACAGGCTCTACTTATCAAGTAGCATAGGTTGGTGTGGATAGTTGCAAGTACATCAGACAGTTGAAGAAAAAAAAAGGGCATTGGAAAAGTATATGAAGGATAATGAAGAAGATGCCCTGAAGCTAATACATCCTTACAGAATACTAAAGAGACCAAACTAGTCAACAAGAAAGACAAAATAAGAATAGAAAAAAGACATGGCAAAGCAAAGCATTATATGATCAGTACATAAAAATTTAGCAGGCAAAGGAGATAACACAAGACCTGGAAATGGCTAAGAGCAGGAAAGTTGAAGGAAGTGACACACGGAGGGTAACTACACACAATGGCAGGACAAAGTAGCAACAATAGTGTATTGGAATGCCTGCAAAAAGTACCATTTGCCTGCAAGAAAGAACTGCTGGGACCACAAAGTAAAATAATAGAAAAGGGAGACCCTAAAGTACTCTGGGATTTTAAAATTCAAACAGACAAGTACCTGCCATATAACATTGCAGACAATTAACAATTGTCAATAAGAAAAGACAAAAAAGTTTGGATAGTGAAGTTGTAATACCTGGACACAGCAGGACACAAGGGAAAGAATTGGAGAAAATAACAAAATACAATGATCTGCAAATATAAGTAGAAAAGCTGTGGCAAAAGAAAGCAAAGATAGCATTAATAGTAACAGGCACCTTAAGTGCAATCCCAAATCTTCTGAAGCACCACTTGAATACCATCAGCTTTGATGAATTCACCATCACTCAATAGCAAAAAGCACCTTTACTTGGAACAGTGATGTAACAATATCTTTAACAACATCTGCCTATCCCAGATCCTTGGGAATGGTTCAATCTAAGTCTAATATCTGGCTGACTATGAAAACAACCATAATATTAATGATTTATTAAATGTGTCTGGCACCCAACTTCCACTGACTCTGGGTAGCTATTTTAACAATTTATTGCACTTTCCTTTTACAGTATTTCTTTAATCAGACTGATCTGATAATGTTTAATATTCTGCTGCATTTTCTAAGCTTGTAATAAAAAAAATCAGTACCTTCAAATTCAAGGTTAAAAAAGATAGAATGGATGCAGTCAAAATTGCCTCATCCTGACAGACAGTCATAGCCTTGAAATGTTTATCTAGAGTTCTGACAATGAGTAGTAACCTTTAGTCTAAACCTTTAAACAGTTATGTAAAAGTCTAGAGTGGAAGGTAAATTTAAAGGGCTTCTGTGACCAGACCACCATTAATTGCTTCAGTCACATACTGGAAAGTAAAGAGATGCTCAAACATTAGCTCCAAAATTTGGTGGCGTGCTTCATTATTACCTAATGTGTTGTCCTCATGGTTGAGTAATGGTCTTTTCTACATGTTTCTCTCTCTTTTAATTTCTTTCTGAATTGCCTCTGTCTCTGTCTCTGTCTCTCTGTCTCTCTCTGTCTCTCTGTCTCTCGCTCGCTCTTTGCTGCAAAATCAAATTTGAAAATACTTCAAAGAATATTTGCTGCTAGAACAGGAAAAAAATAGGAGCTTTGGAAGACATTGCACTGAATCCCTTACTCTGTATTGTGGATTAGGGAGTTGTGTAGGTTTCTTCCTGCTGTTACAAATCCTGCTGAATTAAACAACACACAGATAGATGGGCAGCAGTCTCTGGCCAGTGAGGAAACCCAGAGGCATTCTGGTAGGGAGCTTAGCAGATCAGATATATGAGCTATCACACATCCAGGTCTGTTGTTTGAGGCATATAGTATTTGTCTCTTAAGCGGTCTGATCCATCTCCTATTTAAAAACACACAGAGAGAGGTGTTACCTGCTGGATTGAAGGCAAATATCTCAGGTAGATTCTCCTCAAGTTTTTGCTCTGTACATGGAGAGGATTTAGTTCTGATGTGTTTTACTTTGTTTTGGTTAGAGAGGCATTAAAACCCATAATTATTCTCAGTTATTCTCTGTTTAGAAAGAATTGTGTCACATCATAGATAGTTAATAAGGCAAAAATACAGATTCTGATATTTCTCCAAGTTGAGCATCAGTATTTCCTCAGTTTATATCTATTCCTCAGTTATATCTATGGCTTCATTTATATCAAACCTTGACCATAAATTCAGATAAATGCTAATGGAAAACTTTCACTCCAAGAATTTAAAAGACTGTGGAGAGCTTTCAAGAAATATGAGGTATGTATGCAATTTATTCACTTAGTTTCTTAACTGTTGCCATGGCTATCTTTTTATCCTGTTATTTGTTAAACTGTTAATAATATTATATTATTAAACTAAATATATTTCAGTTCCCAGTCTTTGTGTCATTAGAAAAATGTTCCATAGTAATTACAAATAGATTTTTTCCTGTTTTAATATCTTAAATATAAATATTTTTCAGGATATATTTGGAAGAGAGGATGAAAATAATTCTGGATTCCTAACTGTTTCAAATTTGCAAAGAGTTGTGCAAAAAATAGGTAATTTGATAACTTTGAATATATTTTCAAGGACATAGGTTTATTTTTGAAGTCTGATACATTTTAAAGAAAAAATAAATAAATAGAAATCAACAGGGTAGCTTTTTCCTCTGTTCCAATTTTTTAAAATGGAAAGTCATTGATTTCAATTTTCCTCTAATTTTCACTCATTTCCATGGAACGCAACTTCAAAAATCTTTGTCTTAACACTGCCATCTACCGAACAATAAAGTAATTTCAAAGAAAATCTTTTCTTTGCAGTTTCATGTTCACTTCCTCAGTTTCTCAGTTGTAACTGAATTGTTTGGTGGATGCATTTATATATGCAATCTGTCACACTGTACAGAAGATGCTACTATCCACTAATGTACTTTTAAGAGGAACATTTACAAGTCCAGATGGCAGTGTAAGTTACAGTATTGATTTCCTGTGTGAGGAAGTAAAAAGGAAAAGTAATCAAATGCCAGAGAGAAGGAGGAGGAGAATGACAAGGAAGAAGGGAGGAGGAAACTGTTAGTTCTCAAAGAGTACTATGATTTTTATCATTAATGTACGCCATCAATAGAGATAAAAGGAGGGTATTGTGATAATCAAAGCAATACAGTATCATCCTGAATGTTAAACTCCATGCTGTGCAGTCCTTAAAGGCAAGCAGCAAACACTATAGTCAATGAACTGAAGAAAAGTTTCTATTTGCATAAAAAATACTAAGGCAAATATAGCAAAGTCTGCTTCTTTTGCTGAAACAGTGGAAAGCATAACCCCCAAAAAGATTCTTTTCCTGTTCTCCATTTAGCAAATATTCTAGGCTTCTTAGAAGAGAAACCATCAATCTGGTTAATACTGTACCTCAAGGCTATCTATCTGAGTAAAATCATTTAAAAAATAGTACGTACTTGTTTGGCGTTGATTATGGATTACACATCAAACACCCTCCCACCCCTACTGCTTTCTTTTAGAAATAAGCAGAATTATAGTTCCAAATTCCATAATACATCAGATTTGCTACAAAGGGAAGCCAATATCTGATTTCCCTACTGGATTCTGAGGTCAGGTCTTCCTGTTATGGAAACTTTGACATTGGGAAGGGTGATGCTGGAGGCCAGAAAAATTTAGAAGTTGAGATATTTGAAGAAATTGTTGGTTTTTGGTCAGTTTTATTAGTGATTTTTATTGTTTGATATTTTATTGTTGTTGCTTAGGGTTATGACATATAAGATAGGTCTTGTATAGAAACAAATAAAGATTGGAAAAATATACATGGAGTGTTATCTACAAAGCCAAAGGATTTTAAACCTATCCTCACACCCCACATTCCCACTCCCAAATGCAGGAAGTATTTAAACAAACCCTAGAATTCATACTCTCTCAAGCTTGCAATGGGGAAGGAATTATATAAAGCAACTATAACAACAGGAAGTGAGCTGAGCAGCACAATTGTCTTTCATTGTCATCTCTTCTATGCTAGGGTATTGAGTGATGTGAAGTTTCTTCTATATCAGAACACACAGAATTTCCAAACTGAATATTAGAATGTGCTCTGCACTAAGGTTTTTAGACATATTCATTCACAAAACAGATCCATTGAAATATTGGGATTTAGTACATTACTAACAGAGGATCCCAATGATTTTGATAGATTGTTATTCCAAATCTATCAGGTAAAACCTTTATTTCTAAATACAATGGCCACATTACATTCATTATTGATATTCAAATTTTATGCAAAGGAAATTATGGAACATGAGAGCCAGATTGCATGCCCAGTAATGTTGCAAAGAGTCCTCAGAAATGCTTCTTAGTTGCCTGATCTTTTATTCATAACCCCAAAATTCAGGGTACTTGCATAATTGGGCTTGCCCTGTATCCCATCCTTAGCTTTCACTATACCTTGTTTCATTGGTGTTAGAATCTATTACTGTAGTAGAACAATAATACTGCAGCAAGGGGATTTAAACCAACTCATTTAGAACTAAACTTAGTATTACACCCTGCAATGGATAAGAGTTTTTTAAGATTCTTAAAACTTAAGAATCTCTGTTCTTCAAAAGATCACTTAATTATTTCTTGAAGAAAAGGGGAAAAAATAATGGAGTTCATTGCACCTTAAAAATATTTGTTTCATTTCTATAGGAGTAAAAGTATTCATGGATGAAATGTTCAAGATAAGAAATCATCCATTACAATTGGAGTTGCTCCCTTTGTTTGTTTGTTTGTTTGTTTGTTTTGTCATGAAGCCTGACAATCTATTCACTGAAGCATCTCCCATCCCTGTTTTTCAACTTGCTAAAAACTTTACAGTGATCCTAGGTTTTATTTTTGGAATTAGTAATATGTTTAGTTATCCACAGGGATAAATCCACCATACAGTCCTCTTGGGTCAGATTTTGGTTTTTCTCCTCAGAGGAATTTAGATCGAGTGAACAGCAGCACACCACAATTCACAAAAAGTGGAGTTGTGTGTATTTACTTTTTAAAAATATATTTAAAAATATAGTTTTACAGAAGACTCTCTTTCAATTTGTTTTAATTTTTTAAAATCCTGGCTTGCTTTAAGGAGATAGAATGCTGATAGCTTTATTCCATTCTTTGTTTTTCTGGGGCTTCTTGGAAGTAGCATGTTTTGTTTTTTGTTTTTTTAAAAAACTGCTATCATAATCTAAGCTAACGTAGCCTGATATGTGCATGCATGTGAGCATTCACACACAAAGATCTGCAGATTCCTAGTTTGTACAAAAATCAAAATTGCTTTCATTAATGAATTTTAACTTGGAATTTTAAATACCCATAGCTGTAGGAATAACTTCACTGAAATCATCCAGCATCAGTAGTTTATGTTGTAATTTGATGCAATTCCCAATCACACATACAGATTTATTTCCAATTTGTGAGCTGTTTCAAACAATGTTGAGGTAATAAGTTGCTCCGCATCAAATGATAGGAGTAGTAGATCCTTACAGCTGCTGAGCATTGTTATGCTGTGTCAATTTGAGAACATATGTTTTTCTTCTATGGTTGCTTGTAGGCCTATATGTCAGTGACAAACTCCTCCAGCTCCTGGTTTTACGATATGGAGACTCAGCCCAGAGAATAAACTTTCCTGATTTTGTATGCTGTATGTTTCGTCTTGAGACAATGGCAAGTAAGTGGTATTTCATGCACCCAGTAGAAGCAAAATAAAGTGGTCCTGCAGCAGTGCATGTGTAAAAGATTTCATCTTGACAGGGAATTTATCTTCTGACTATTCACTCTCTACCTAGAAATAATGGCAGTTGCAATTCAAAGGGCAGAGATGCCCTGTATGAAAGGCAGAAATGAGTCTTTAGATTGGGGGGGGGGTGAAGTGAAAGTGAGTACTGAAGAGTGGTGGAACTTCATCTGCCAAAGAGAGACCCAGCTTAGGAGGAGGCAGCAAGATGGAGCCAGCAATTCATGCAGGGCAGGCGTCAGTCATCCCAGATAAACCAGACAGGAGAAATGGTTAAATGAATAAATTTATTTTATTGTAAGGCTACATTAAAAGAATTGGGTAGGAAAGTACAGATTTTCCATCTCCACTTTTACTTGCTTGATCCATTAGAGCAGGTCATTCCTAAGTTTCTTTCTCTGACTATTAAGCCACTGGGGGCTCTTTTATCCTATTGTTTTCTAGACAGCATCTCTTCCCCTCATTCCCCAAGATCATCTACACATTCTATCTCATCAGGAGATGTGTGAATCCTTGCCTAACAACCACAACCAGGACTATTGGTAGAGTTGTCACTAAGTGGTGCGGTCACATGATGTTTTTCCCAATGGCCACTTTGCTTCAATATGAAAAATCTAGTCCCAATTAGTGCTGTTAAGTGAGGACTACTTGTAATATCAAATTCACCAAAGGTTTTCAGGGTCAGAAAGTGCCTTTTTCTTGGATTCACTTGAAGAAACCTGAAAACACAATGCAAATAAGAGGGAAGAATGAAATGCAATACCTCCAATTATATAAGTTGCTAACAGATGGCAATGCTTCTGTGCTAGAACCTTATATGTATTTTAAACATCTGTTCTTTCACAGCAGTTGGTGGAAAGTTACAATTGTGAGAAAATATATCTTTAGTAAATTGGCCTACCTTCCCAAATTGAACTTGAACAGTATTATCATGTTTATTTAGGTCAGGGGTCAGCAACCCGCGGCTCCAGAGCTGCATGCGGCTCTTTCATCCCTCTGCTGTGGCTCCCAGTCCTCTGCCCAGTCCTCCGCCACCTAAAAAAAAAGTTCAATCTATCAATTCCAGCTTCTCATAAAAAAAAATATCTCGTGAAGTTGGAATTGATTGATTGAACTTTTTTTAGTCCCACAAACAAAACAAACTTGTTTTGTTTGTGGGACTGCCCACAAGCTTCTTTTGTTTGTAAGACTGCACATGATGGTGGAGGAAATGATGGAGAACTGCGTCAGAGCTGGAAAGAAGGTGCTGTGTGAATCCGATCGGGGGCACGTGGGGGATGTTCTGCCAAACATCTTGTACGGAGCTGGGGAAATGGGCTGGGTGGGGGGAGCTGCCAATTCTGCTGCCATGAGGCTTGGCAGATCCCTGCCAGTGGCCATGATCCCCCCAGACAGACAGCTACCATCGCCCGACCTACCCCTCACCTGGCCAGCCGGCTGATACAAAGCCTCACCACTCTTCTCCTCCTCGTTCTGCTCTCCACTCTGCTCCATCCGAGTTGAAGAAAGTGGAGGCACAGCAGTCGGATTGTTCTCAATAAGGCAGGCACACACGAGCAAGCAGCGCACCCGGCTCTTATTGTTTGAGACCAATCTTCCACCTTTGCTGATGGGGAAAGCTGTAGCAGCAGAGCGCTCCATGCAGGGGGGGGGGGTAGAAAGGAAAAGCAGCGGCAGGGCACACTCCATGTGGGGGAGGTAGGAGGGAAAAGTGGCAGCAGGGCGTGCTCTGCAGGGGAGGTAGAGGAAGAAAGCAACAGCGGCAGGTGCTCTGCGTGGGAGGGAGGTAAGCAGCAGCAGTGGTGGAATGCTGGGGAGGGAAGCCGCAGGGTTTGTGGCTCCTGGTGTTTTCTTTTCTGTGGGAAAGGAGTCCAAATGGCTCTTTGAGTGTTTAAGGTTGCCAACCCCTGATTTAGGTGAAAGTTCAATATAAATGATTAATGTCATTTTTAACCATTCTTGCCTTATTTTAAATTGTTATATCCGTTTTTTATGTTTTTAACATTTTATTTGTACATCATCCAGGGTCTCCAAGTGAGGGAGATGGGTGGTTTTTAAATATGATAAATAAATAAAATTTGTGTTGCTACTGTTTGAAAAAGTACCTTTGAGCTCACAAAAGGCAACTGGACTGGTTTTTTTTTTCCCCTTGAGAATAAAGAAGAAGACAGTCCAGCTGCCTTTTAAAAAACACCTTTGAGACAACTATGATGTGGATGACTGAGAAATCTCCACAGACAGTCACTGTTTGTGAAATAAAAGCATGCAGTCAGTCCATTTTAAGCAATACACTGTGACTGAATGGTTTACTGCTGAAGTATGATTAATATGTATGAGACAAATGTAAACCGAGCATGCACATGTACATGCAGATGGACACACACACACACACACACACAGTTTACCTTGCCACTAAATAAATGCAAGAATACTTCACTCTTCTCGTATGAATTTCACCAAAGTTATATTTTTCCTTATGGGAGGGAAAGAAGAAAGTAACATTTTCCCCTTTCAGTTTAAATAATTAACAGTAATAAAAAGCATAATATTTTTGGCACAATAATTATATTGTTCTTTTCAAATAAAGAGTAATGAAATACATCCTTGAAACATTTTGATTTCCTTTAAAGCAGATTGTGTAGTAGAAGTAACAAGCCTTTATTTTTGTCTAAAACTACCTCCTAATTGTTTGCTTGCTTTCAAATTTGTACTTATATGGTCCCAACAGATATTAAAGTATTCTCTTGGAATTTTGATTTGTATTCTGCCAAAATGTGTAGATTCTTGATCCGTATTTAGCCATGTGAAATGAAACTGGCTAGCAGTGTTTGTTTGCTAGATTTGTCCTCCAAGAGATCAAGGTGGTAAACCTAAAGCTCTCTCCTCCAGTTTCAGGAGGTGGGCTGGGCTGAGTGAAAATGACCAGCCCAAGATCAACTTGTGAGCATCTATGCTGAAAGTAGACTTCACCTTGACTCTCCCCAGTCTTCATCAACTATACCACATTAGCTCTCATACACACATTAAATTATTTTCATATGTATTTCCTGTTATCTGGTTGTCACTCTTGAATTAAGTTTTGATGCCTATAGAATCATGAGCAGCAAGCCTTAAATACCAGCAGTCGAAGTACAAGAGATCACTCACATATACAATTTATAAGCTTCCATCTGGTTGGCTACTGTGTCACAGAATGATGAACCAGATAAGCTTTTGTCCTGATTATCAAAAGTTTTGCTTATGTTCTGATGAACTGGAAAATCAGGGCAAAAGGAGAACTGATGTTGCATCTGTGCTATTTCATTATCCTATCCTTAGACTGAATTTTTACCAGGTATAACTGCTAAAATAAACATTCAGAAAAAAGCCTCTTTTTTAAACCATAGACTACAAAGTACATTATAGAACATCTTCTTAATTTCTCTATCTCACAGATGCTAAAACACTCTCACTTGAAAGGGTATGTATTTAAATGAAAGTGCCTTTGATTGCCAGTGTGTGTGTGTGGGGGGGGAATCTTTCAAAAGCTACTGAAAAAATATTCACAGTTCCAAGCTAAGCACCTAACATTTACTAATTCTTTTCAGTTACTATTTTACTGAAAGTTTAAAGTGCATTATACACTGCCTGTGAGGTTTTCTCAGGAAAAGATCATTGAGTTAATTGGGAAAAAAAAGGCAGTATACCAGTAACCTAAATTGAGAGCAGATAGTTAAATAAATAAATAGGCTTTTCTTCATTGGATAATCATGCTAATAATACCTAAATCAAATTAATCTTCTCTTTTATCATTTGTAGTAAATGGGGGAAGAGAAAAAGCACATTCAAGCACCATTAACCCTATAGCTATTTTGTGCTGAGAATGCTGGGCTAAGCTTTCTAAGCCTGCAGCTTAACTGAAGTCAGTTTAGAGCAGTTTAATTAGAACCAAGAAAAAATATTCATAATATGATTGAAAGATATAATGTACCTTTCAAAGTTCAGTGTGTATTCAGATTGATGCTGAAAGCAGTAAACAACCAAGCAAGCCATTTATGCATGTAATTTCCCTCTTCCCATGAATATGGCATTGCTTCTGCAATTTACTTTGATGTTGTGAGTTATGTCTTGGTTACTATCTGGCGGAAATGGCAAAGATTTCGGCTTTTTTAAAGGAGCAATCGCAAGAGAAATTTTTTGCTGTATGGGAAAAATGGATAAATTTTATACAACATAAATTGGATATAAAAATATCATTTAGCTTTTTTATAACTTGTATATAATTTTTGATATTTTATAGATTGTTTTCTCTTTTTTCCTTTTTTTTCTTTTTCCTATTTCTTTTCTTCTTTCTTTCTTTCTTTTTTTTCCTCTTTAAGTATTTTTTCTTTTTAATGTTTATGTCATATATATTTTATTATTAACTATTTTATAAGTTGTTAAAATTTGTTTAGGTTTCTTAAAATTTTAATTAAGCCTATATTCAGCTCTGGGAAGCTCGGGGGGGGGATGGAGGGGGTGGTTTGGGAGGGGTTGGGTGAGGGTTGTTTTGTTTTCTTTTGTTTGTTATTGTTCTTTTTTTGTCATTTGTAAAAACTTTTAAAAATTCTCAATAAAAAAAAATACTAAAAACTAACACAAACTGTACTTAAAGAAAGAAAAAATAATGAAAAAATAAAAAATGCAGGAAAGAAAAAAAAGAAAATAATATAATAAAGATAAAAATATATAAAGCATTGACTTCCAACCTTTCAACTTTGAAAAAAGGGCTTATTTTAACCTTCATCAAATAGACCAAGTTTATATTCCTTCCTTTTACTTTTAACAGTCTTAATCTTTAATTTTGTCAATCCTTTATCATAGAATTTTATTTCTCATCAATTCTGTTTTATTTCCAGGTTATTTGGTTAATTTCTCTTTGAATTTATAAAATTACAGCCAGTTTCTTTTGTATATCCAGTAAAGTGTCCTTTTCCAAATCATTCTTTTGGCCTGTCATTTGTAATTCTATTTTTGGTACTTTGTCTTGTCAGGTAATACTTGTACCACATTTTCATTAACATCTTTTAGACATAGTTTATTCATAGAAGCAGACATCATTACTGACAGTGTTAATAATATTATAGTTACTAATTCCTGATTCCATTCTTCAACAATCTCCTTTAACATTTCAGGTATTACTACATTTTGTGCTGTTTTGTAAGTCCCAATATTAACTGACATTAAAAACAGATTTTTTTAAAAATTGGACTTAGGATTTTTGGTTACTTCTAGTGTCCTGTTTCTCAAGACATCACTTATCTTTGTTATGACTCATGATAGCCAGGATAGCTAAATTAATTCCAAAATCTTAGAGTAAAAGTCAATATTCCAAATTTATTGGATCATTAATCTATTTATAACTTTATTAGATCAAAATCTTATTTAGCTTTTGCAGTTTATTTCAACTTTTTAAAGTTCTTAAACTTATAATTAATTTTTCTTTTGTTTAGAATTAAAGTTTCCTGCCTGAGCAGCAGTTGGACTAGATGACCTCCAAGGTCCCTTCCAACTTTATTATTATTATTATAAACTTTCTCAATGAAGACTTTTCAAATTTATTATTTCAGAGATCTCTACTAGCTTTAAGATAGTTAATAGGCAGTTTAAAATAATAGGCAGATTAGAAAGTGAGATTTACAAACTTAGTATCCTTGAAAAAGCTCTGCCAGGGATGCAAACAAGATAGCTGGTCTGTCATTGTTCAGTGTTCAAACCTATCAATAGTATTAGTACTTATTAGTATTCTTATATCTTAGCTGTGACACTATAGAAAATGACTGTTTGAGGGAAATCCATTGCCTCTTTGCCTTATTGAGGCATGTCATGTTGCTTTTACAGCCTGAAGTTCTTTGTTGAGGTAAATGCTTCCTTGCACGGACCTAATAAAAGGTGTTTTCTTGAACTCATAATCAAAATATTGATTATTTTTCCCTTTATGCTACTCCATAGCTAACATTAAAAAGTTGCTTAAGGTTGTTATGTAGTTTTATACCTAGTAACTCAAAATGTCTTTGTACTGGAGATAGTTCTGATATGCTAGATTATATTCTTTGGCATGGAATCTGAGGTAGCTTGGAAGTTCATGATCCTCATGGCAATCTTCAAACATGATAAGTTATATAAGGCCCAACTCAGATGGGGAATTCACATATTGGATCACATCACAAAGTAGTGTCATGACTGAGAGTTGGAGAATATTAACATCAGCCTCTTGAGATGGACAGATTGTTCTCCTTGGCCCTAGGGTTCTCCTCAGCCACCCATTACTGCAAAGAGATGGGGGCTATTTGATCAGCTCATTCTAGGCAACTAATAGACCCAATGCAATTTCAGACGAAGTTTGGGTTTGTTTGTTTTTTAATCAAAGATAGCACAGGCTTCAGTGGAAGAACGTGTCATAGCTTGGAATAAACATGTTCCAGGGCTGGTTTACACCTGTGTGGGATTATTCTATACAGTTTCCAAATTATTTTTATTAAAAATAGTTTTGAAGTTTTATCCTTGCATACTTATTGTTTAATCTTTAGTTCTTGTATTTTTTTTCAAATGTTGACTGAATTTACAGAAAAAAACATGTATTGTCTTCTTTATCATCCTCAAAATAATTTTGTTTTCTATTCAACAGAGGCATTCCTCAATTTATCAAAAAATAAGGGAAGTATCTGCTTTACTGAAGATGAGGTGAGTAGAACTGCCCTCCCCCCATGTCTCGTTTTTATCTTTGAGAATAAATGGCTTTATTTCCTCAAATCAAACTATTTTCTAAAGAGCAAAAATTGGAAAAGCTCAACAGAATTTAATATTCAGAGTAAAATGTGTGTGTGATATAGGATTTTGGTATTTTGTTAATTTGGAAAATGAAATATTCATATCTATAAGAGTCAAATCCTATAACAGACATTTTACCTGTTGAAAACAGCTGTAGGAAATAGTATTTTTTTGTGTTGACAGGGAAAAAGTTCTGATGTTAAAATGTTTCTAATACTTCCATGGGTATCCTGGATGCAGACAGGGTTACACCATCTTCTAAACTTTTAACTTACTTTGAAAGAACTGCAGAGAAGACTCAAAACTGGTGAGGCAGTTAATCCATCCGTCTCTCGCCATGTTTGTAATAAACCGGTGGAATTTAGAAGAAAAGTTTCACTACTGCCACCATGAAATTGCTGGGCTTATGAGGGAGTCAGAAAATTTTTCCCCTTTTCAGTTCTTATTATTTTAGTATTAAGGCTTATGTGATCAATAAAGTAATTCTAGATGTGAACTAAATATCCAAACTTCCACTAGATATGATAACATCAACCCACAGGACTCTTTGCATTTATTTATTTATAAAATTTATGAAATGTATATGTTGTCTGATTCCCAATGACTCTGGGGAGTTGGCTTTTGTTGAAAATTCTGGAAATTGAAGTCCACAAAACAGAGACTCTAGGTTATGGAAGTTTCCTTGATATAATTAATATTTAGAGCCTAGACTGGAATATCCCAAATTATTTCAATTCCTTGATACTCTAGCAATAGTATTGATTATGTATGCTACTAACAGAAACAGATAATTCATAATGAAATTAAATAATAATAATAATGAACACCAATGAAAACCAAAAAAATGCCCAGATTCAGCCAATTCAACATATGGGATAAATAACCTATTCTTTTGTCAGCATTTTGCAGACTACTCAAGTTGTTCTATCTAGAAAGACATTTCAGCACACGGCTTCCTTTTCACTCTCTGTTTTGTTATCATTTTTAAATGTTGATTCAGCAATATTTTTCCACAGCATTTTCAGGGAATTCAGTGATAGATAACTTGTTCTTTATGTAGAAAGTCCTAGATTCAGTTCCTGACCTTTAAGTTTAAGGTTGGTGGCTCAAACATCACTTTTGCCTTCCAATTAAAACAGGCTGTATACCTTTAATAGAGCAATTCAGCCTTCAGTACAAATAGGAGCTGGTTGTGTGCAATGAATCAGCCTTTTATGCAGCATCCTTTCCATGGTAATTACTTGTGGCCATGTCTCAACCAGCCCCCCCCCAAATGTTCCAAATTCCTGTGATAATCCTTGATGATTGTTTTACATTTAGTTGTTTCTATCACTTATTTAAAAAAATGTGCCTCAAGCATTTGGGATTGCAGTCATATATAACAGAAGGTACATATACAGTAAGTGAAGAAAGTCTTTCCCCAAAAGAAGAGAGCCTTTAGGACAGGGGTGTCAAACTGGCAGCCTGCAGGCTGGATGTGCCATGCACAGGCCATGCCCATCCCAGCTCCGCAAATGCAAAAATGTCACGATATGTCACGTGACGCAATGGAGTTTGACCCCCATGCTTTAGGGGAACATAAAAGCACTAACATAGAAAAAAAATGTGAGAGTTTTCACAATTAACAGATCTGAAGGAAGTCATTTCAACCATCATTTCATGAAATAAATCTCAGATGCAAAAAGAAAATAGGATTGCCATGTTCTGGCTGTTTTATTGCCTACATATACTTTACAAGTTTTTATTTAAAATATTAACTAGTGCTGCTCTTTTTTCTTCTTATCCTTTTTTTGTCTTAGTGGATGACCATGATCATGTATTGCTGATCAGATGATACTACTTTCTAAATACAGGTAAGACCCGGCCCAAATATTCCTAAAACTTGCATGGTTCTTTCTTGCATGGAAATTGTAACCATTGTTAATTCTTTGTTTAAAAATATGGCAAGGAAAGACTGATGCATGTAGGATAAAACTGGAGTTTTATCCTTAAATACTGTGTATACTTTTGATCATTGATGCATTTAATAAAATACTGAAAAAAAGTTTGGGTTTAATCTCATTTCCTTTTTTAGGCTGCTGACTTCTTAGACTTTCAAAAGAAAATTGTTGAGTGTGAAGGCCTGTTTAATTGGAGATGAAATAGAACCAGTCAAGGGCTTCAAGCAATCTAGACATAATCAAAAGAATAAAAAATCATGCAAAGAATGGTACCCACAGAAGATAATGGTAGAAATGTGCAGAGAAAAATATTTACTACCATATGAATGTCTTGGGATGACTTTTAAAAATAATCCACACTAAGGTTAATAAAAACGTTCAATGCAGTAGAAACTTAGTTTAAAATGAAAATCTGGTGGAATTGGGTCCCAGGTTGGACTAGAAGATCTCCAAGGTCCATTCCAAACCTGTAATTCTGTTTTTCTGTTATATAGAATAATCTTCCAAGATGTAGTCATTCAGGTTTGTTCAACTAAGCTCCCATCAACCACAGTGTAACCAATACATTTACATACCTAATTTATATTGGTTTTATTGTGTTTTAGCACTTTGTTTCCTGACACTTAATTGTTTATCAAAACTGCATAATCTTAAGTGATCTTATCATAAATCAAAATGCAAAGCATATATTTGAGAAATCAATACAAATACAAAACTAATTTAAAATTATCCTTAGACTCAGGTTGCAATCCTTAACAGACTTAAGAACTGTACACTATTAATCACAATATGACTTTCCAAGACAGTTTTTATAGATTCATGCTATACACATTCAAATAATTTTAATAAAAGTGTAACTGTTTCTTGTTCAAAATGGAATTCTCTTATGTGCTACAAATGATTTCTGCTTTGGTATGGTGGTGTTTGCATCTTAGCAAAAATATTATATTTCTTAGACTGGAAATTCTTATTTTATTTACCATGATTTTCACACGTTTATTCAACTTTGTTTTCTGCTGAAATTATTAATATCTCTCTGAATGTTTGATAGTTGCTATGTTATATATACAATAAAATAGAAGGTATCCAATATGAGCAACAGCATGTACTTTCACTTTTTATTGTTTTATTTAATTTTTCAATCCGTTTCATAACTGAATTTCTCATGCTATCTCCTGATTTGCTATCTAGAAAACAAGTAATTTGGTGATGGACTGATATATAATAGAACCAAAAAATGTCTAGAGCCTCATGATTATAATGTTATAAAAATAAGTTATTATTTTTATTATATAATCCAGTATATTCAATAGTTTCTCAAATTTAAAATCATTTTATTCATTCTACTTGACTGTACTTTATTTGATTTTCCTAACCACCTTCTATAATATATGCTTTTTCTAAAATAAAAAAACCCTTGAAATTTCCCATGACAAAAAGGCAGTTTTTAAATTCAATCATTTTTGACATTTTAATTTATCATCATAACCATCATATTTCATTTCACAGAACTTAAAAAAAAATCTAGCATAGAGAAATACCTTCAAATATGCTGTGTTTACCCAGTATTTTTTTATTCAAGCAATGGATTCCCCTGTGGTCTCTGGAACAGTAAAGAGCTTTTCACATTATTATTATATATACAAAAATGTGAAATCACAGCTGCCAGCTCTTTAGCTGGTGCTGGTGTTCATATGCCTTGAGTTCTTCACAAGATTGAGGATGTCGTAATGTATTGTCATAGTATATGTGCAGATCCAAGCAATGTGATCTTTCATAATTGACAGAAGGAAATGTTATCAATGTGCAAATCTTGCCATCCAAGATTTTTTAGTAAGGGACCCAATATGCTGATAACCATTGGGACCATCTTGGCCAGATTATGCCATAATCTTTCAGTTCTGATTTTCAAAACTATCAAAACTTCAAAACTATCTCTTGATTCTTTGTGACTTTCTTCAATTCTTTCTCTTCTATTCTATTATTCTCTAATATTGCACATCAATTATTCACACGTTCTTCTTTTCACAAAATAACAGTTTTATTTTTACTTATTTATTAATATTTATTAATTGTTCATTTATTTTATTTATTGATATCAATTAAGTATTATTATTATGTCATAATGAATAATTCAGTAAAAATAATAAATAACTGCATTTTGTGTTTTTGTAGTAATTTTATTAAAAATTATAACTACAACAGTAAAAACTAATATAAACTGAAGAAAAATAAAAGAATAAAAAGAAAGAACAGAAATTACAGGAAACAAAGAAGAAAGGGAAACAGTGAAAATGAGAAAACAAGAAACAGAAACAGAAAAGAAAGAAAAATAAAAATATAGTAAAGAAAATGAAAAGAAATATGTAAAAAAGTGACTTCCCACCTTCATTATAACTATGAACTATTTAGTAACTTATCACCTCCTCTTAAAATGAAGCAAATGCTCTCTTCTTCCCATATTCCACCTCTTATCTATAAACAATCTATAAAGTATCCTCTTTTAAGTCCTGTGTCAGCAAAGGTCCATTAAAGCTTACCAAAGATACAATATGTCTATTTTAAATCTGATCAAATAAATCAACCTTATATTTCTTCCTTTTACTTCTAACAATCTTAATCTTTAGTTTAGTCAAATACTGCAGTAGAACTTGATTCATTTTCATCTTTTTTTATTTGTTTCTTCTCACAAAATTCTTCAAAACTTCAAGAAATCTCTTCTGTAAATCCAACAAAAAAAATCATCCAGGTTTTTCTATTGATTTATTGTTTGTACATCCTTTTTAATTATTAAGACATCAAATAGTTTCTTTTGCAGTTCCAGTGTAACATCTTTTTCTATGTCATTGTTGTAATCAATCTTTTATAACTCCACTTTCAGCTCAGTCTGGATCTTGTCAGGTAGAAGTTGTTCCTCTTCCATAACATTTTTGGACATAGTCTCTCCATACTTTGACATATGTCTCTGTCAACACTATTAAAATATGTTGAGTCCATTTTTTAAAATGTGCTTCAATATGTCTATTTTGTATTTGGAACTTAAGTTTGTAATCTTTAATTCCCTATAGTTCCCCCTAGTGTCCATTTCTTAAAATGCTAAACAAGGATATTCAAAAATCAATAGAAAAATTCTCTATATATCTTAGACCAGGGGTCCCCCAACTCACAGTCCATGGACCGGTACCAGGCCATGGCATGCCAGCAACCAGTTTGCACAAACAAGCAAAGCCCCATCAGTGGGATGCAGGCAGCACACAAAACCATGCACCTTCCGGACCATGGAAAAACCTTTCTCCATGGAACCATTCCCTGGTGCCCAAAAGTTGGGGACATCTGTCTTAGACAATGGGAAGATTGGAGTGTGTGTGTTTGTGTGTGTGTGTGTGTGTGTTATGTTTAAAATGGGGCTGCGCAACTAAAACAAATCATCACACTTACCTTGAAAGACCAGTCAAAACAGCAGGCAGAACTTGAAAATTTACAAAATTTGAATAAATCCATAAGCCAATTATTTTCTCCAAAAATCTATTTAAAGTAAGTAAAATCAAATTTCTTTATTGAATTTATACAAGTTATGATCTGGATCCAAAGGAAGAGTTATCCAGCACTTCTAATCCTAAGCTTTGAGCTTTTGCAGACAATACAGAAATGATCATATAAAAATGTAGAAAGATATTATATAGCTAAGAGATTTTTATAAAAATTCCTTACCTCATAATAAAGAAGAAAGAGAACAACAGTTAGGATATAAAACACTATTTTTATGGCTTCAAATAAAATCCTTTTCATATACTAGGCAGGTAATGAAAATTTCAAATTGCCTGTTAACAAACTTTAAGAAATTAATAGGCAGAAATTACATTTGAAGATTTTGCTGTGAATTCTTTTAATCCCCATAACTAATAGAACATGTATCCCATAATAATCCAGATTAACACTGGAAGGGTTGTTAATAGGAGGAAACATTCTTCCATCTTTGGTTGAATTGTGAAAAAGTATCATTTTTTTAAAAGTTTTTGATCAATTGAATATTTTGACTAAAGAAATAAAATGTCCACTAAAATTAGGGCTATTGGATATATTTGATTGAAAGATTATGAAATGAAATGGTATGAAGCCTATTATACTTTTCTTACTGTTGGCAGCTAGATTGTTAACCATAATTTGAATATTTGAAATATTCAGATATATTGAAAAATGGCATAGTAAAATCTTGTCTATAATTTGCTTTAAACTAAGTTGAGCTAATGCCACTTTTCCTAGGATGAGGAATTTCCAGTGTGAATTTTTATTTGGTTTTTCTAAAATCACTGCACCTTCTCTAAGATGCAGATCAAGTGGCAAAACTCACAAGTACATGAATAAAGACAGATTACAGATACAAGTAACTTGATGTCTTATAACCCCCTTATCCAGTTTCCAGATGTAACTCAACAAATAGAATTAATACATGAATGAATACAGATTTGACACCTCTGCATTCAAACTGCCTACTCTTGGATTAGGATACAGAGGTGTCAAATCTTATTAATTCATGTAATTCATGAAATGATTTAGGCCCTGAATATAAAAAGAGGAAAAAGAAAGAAATGGAACCATACAAACCTCTTGAAAGCATAAATAGGTACGTAATGGTAAATATGCAATGATAAATATATAATAAATATTAGATAAGCAAATCAAAGGTATGACTAGTGAATGGCATTAGTTTAAGAAAAAACACAATTTTAGTTTATGAAGTTTTATGAAATATGAAAAATGTTTCCAACATACACATGGTTACATTCTAAGCCTTTGAATGTAAAGAAGTGTATTGTAGCATCTTAAAGCTGAGAAGTTTACTATGGCATGTGTTTCATGAACTATAATAGTACAGGAAAGCATGTACCATAATAGTTTTAAGGAGGCACAACGGGATGGGGGAAGGAATTTCATGTATTTTGTTCTATTGTTTTTGTTACACCAGAATAATGGAGATACCCCTCTGCCATTTGCTTTTCAAGAAACAACTCTTTGAAGTGTAGTTTCAGGTTTGGATTTCACTTTGCACTCTATCCAATTTTATGACTGTTGAAATGTCAAACACTATCATTTAAATGCATGACTCACAAACTTTTGGGGGTATGTTCTAAATATATTTTCATTTGTTTCACTGGTAATATAATTTGAGCCCTAGCTGGAAATGGAAGTTGAACAGAATGGATTGGACCCAGTCCTAAATATATTTTGAGAAGACCCTCTGAAATCGTTGAATCCATTTTTTTCTAAGAAAAACATGTATTTGCATAAATATTGTTGACAATACTGGGAGAAACAGAATTATTTCTTTATTTACTTATTTGATAAATATATGTAACTGTTTATTTACTAATGGGCAGCAAACAAAAAATAACATATAATACATTATAACTTAAGAGAAACAATTCAAAGCCACTATAGAAACACTTTACCAACACAGGCACCTACTATTAGCATCTCAGTGTCAATAACTGAGAAGAAATTCAAGTCTTCAAACACCTATAGAAGACCACAGGGTTGAAGCCATGCAAATTTCAGGAGGATCCTGTTCCACAATGCAAGTGCCATGACAGAGAAGGCATTCCTCCTAAGTTTCACTAGATGCTTTAGTGATAGGAGCTGGAGCATGCCTCTTGTGTTGGATCTAGTGGAATGGCCATCTTTATTTGCTTCTCTACTTGTAGACTTTTTCCCTTGCTAGGAATGGGAATCATTCCACCTAATATTTCCACACTATTACTGGACAACTGTTGGAAGGCAAACAACTGCTGAAAAAAACACTGATCTAAGCAAATATGAATTTCTGCAATTTGGTGCAATGATTGTGATTTTCACTTGCATTTCAAGTGTGAACAAGGTGAGCAAGGGAAAATACAGGCAGAAAATATATTTCCATCCTGTAGGACTTATCCTCATTAATATTCATTTATGTAGTCTTGAGTTCAAGGAAAAATATGCTGACATAATTTGCATTGTCCAGATGACTTAGCTCTAATGTGGCTCAGTAACAAGGTCATGTCCTTGCGGCTTTATTAATTGGTAAATCCCCAGGCTTGGTTTCCCTGCCTACCCTGTGTCATCATCCTGTGAAGGAAAGTCACTAATCATTCTCCTGATAGACTATGTCAAGAGCCTTGGGCAAGAAATTTAGCCCCATTCAGGTTGCCCAGATGACATATTGTCAGCTGGTAACCTGTTACTTAGACTATTTCTGAAAAACATCTATTGGTCTTCTGGAAGAAAAGTAGACTTGAGTCTAAAACTAACCCAGCTAACAATTTGTGAGACAAAAGAGGAATACAGTCAAAAGCAGTCCATCCTAAACCCTTTTTTAAAGATAGAGATCTACCAGATTTTCAAAAAACTGGTAGACAAAATTGTGAGCCTTCTTGCAACATATACTAGAAGGTGAAACTGGCAGAACTCTTGTCGGTTTGTCCTTACTTTTCAAGTATCCCAATGATAGGGATGTTAAGGGAATGGGAATGCTGGCAGCAAATGGAAGCACCTGTAACAAACCCAAGAACATACCTAGTAATGTTAGAACAGACATTAGCACCACTTTCTTCCCAAAGTAATAAAAACAGTAGAAAGCACAGAATTCAAAACCTTTAAGTGCAGAAGCAATAGCAAATACTAACTGGGTTACAACCAACAATATCTCTGTCTGTTTAAATCACCCCTTTTTTTCCACAGACAAGCTGTCCAATCTTTTGAAGAGCATTGAACACGTGTTCAGTAACCTTGTAATGGTCTTCTTGTCTACTGGCCCATGTAACACATAAATTGTGTTTTATGAAGCACAAGTTTGGCTTAAAACAGGCAAGTGCTTCTGTGAAGGCAAGATGCCTGAAGTGATGATCACCAAATGGGTGATACATGGCTAAATTGCCTAGCCCAGCCGATATCAGCTCAGTAAGTGCCAGTCCCATGCTTCATCACTAAGATAGTGCTTGTTTATATGCCAAATTCTGTCAGAAGAAGACCATAAACATGGACAATTTTAGGCTGCCTTGATGTGGAACTGGAAATAAAACAAAAGGCATCCAAAATATGCCATCTAAAAATGGTTGGAACAATTAGGTCATTTTAGTTTAGGACAATTTTAGATTGCCTTCATGAGGGGCTGCG